GAGGTTTGTTTAGTTATCGTTCAGTTTATGTTTAGTATTGGTTTATTGGTCTGAATTAAATGGGAACAGTGCAGTCAGTCACTCAGTCACTACTAGTCGGTGTGCATAGAGGGTAGAGTCTGGTAGATTTTTAGGACATAAAACTAGTAGATCTATTGATAGTGCTGTGCACAGTGCTATCAGCTACCTATCTGATACTGTTATGCGACTCTTCAATGTTTGGAAGATCTGCTTTCCTGAAGTGTTTTTGTATATTGAAGCCAGTTAAATGGTCAATATTTAGCTTATTACCTTGCTCCATACAAACTTTACAAAGTTAATGAATAGACATAGTACCAATAATTGTTTACCCAAATCCCAAAAATCCCTAAGTGGTAAACACCACCTTGGCCTGTTGGCCATTATTGAAGGCAATAAGTGCCCTTTTTAGCCATCCATTATGATCCATATACTGTTAATGTTAATAGGCTAATTGCAACATAAAAAATAACACTTCAAAAAGACAAAAAAAGTTGAAAAAATCAAAAAAATCAAATAAATCAAGAAAATCATGAAAAAATAAAAAAAAATCATTGATTTTTGATTTTTTTGATTTTTTTTTAAATCAAAAAAATCGCCAACCCTGGCTACGATCAACATAAAATATAGTCAAGATTTTGAAAGAGAATGCAAACGTAACATGATAGTCACGGCATGACAATCATTCCTACCCCAATCAACATCAAATATAGTCAAGATATTGAAACGAGAATGCAAACGTGACACGACTTGCTACGATCAACAGAGCTGTTAGTGATAGGTTGACTGTGAACTGTTACGGTTCGTTAATCAAAGAGATAGGTTTCCATGTGGACAAAATTGTGGAAAAAAGTATATTTTTTCTATAGAGAAGCCAGTTCATGTCCATCAGCACCGCGATACGTAAGATAATGTAATCAAAAAGCGTTGCACATGATATAATGAATTCGTACTTTTAACACGCAAAAAGAAACAGACCCGCAATGAGGACTTGGTCGTTGTAACTGACCTCGTAACTTGTCTTAAAGTCACCGCCACCATCCTAATCAGAACTTATATTTTCCCAGATGTACAAACATTTATTCGATATCCGTGGGATCAAATAAATTTTCTTAATATGCAAATGAGCAGCGCTACGGTGCTTATGTAGACAATAACATAACATCAACACTGCGATAACGATACATACCGTAATATGTGGACAATGACATCATCATAGCTACGTAACATAAACATTATGATAATCATGTTGACATACTAGTAACCGAACCTCGTCGGAGCCCCGGCCGCCCTGCACGCCCCTGATGTAAGCTCTGAACTCTGAGTGCTTTCTGAGCAGCAGCGCAAGCTCCTGCCGCAGCTGCGTGAACTGCTCAGGGTCAACCCAGTTCAGCTGTAGCGCCTCCTGCCGCGCCTGCAGCTGCTCCTGCTGCAGCTGACTTGCCTGCAGACGGTGACGTAGCTTGTGGATTAACGATCCATACTTCCGGGACTTCTGTGAACGAAAGAAACATACTGAGTACGAGTTATGATTTGAATTTACTTCGGGAAAGCACGGGAATTCTGCGATAAAAGGAGAAATACCGGGTAAAACATGACAAATTTATAATGAGAAGATAATCAATTCGCTCGTGGGGATGAAGGAAATGTTAACAACCGTTAGGATAAGTGAAAATGAATCATTCACTTTGCAATTTGTTATTCGGCAATCAACAAGGAAATGTATAGAATCGAATAAATCAGGCTCATGGGCTTTAATTATTCAAACGATTGAAAGACCTGGTAATCGTTCTTATAAAACTTAGCCAAGAATACGAAGCCAGAAATCTGAATTATGAATCCACTAATTTACATAGTGTGGGATTGATATTCATAGGTTATGAATGAGCAGTGAAAATACAGTCTGATGTGAAATTTTCATTTCAAATGTAAAATGTGCCCTTGGGTAGACAAGCGAGAGCAGCCGCCCTGCATCAGTAAAAATTTTAATTTATTTTAGATGAAAACATGCACATATTGGATAGCATATTCAACACTTCTTTCGTTCTCGATATATTCAATTTCTACTGTACTCATCATTCAGCTAATTTAGTTCACGTCACAAAATCCGCATTTGTTCGAACAGGATTTCTTACGCATTGGAGAGCTTTTGTCTCGGTGTGATATCTTCTGTCTCGCTCCTTGAGGCGGCCTTCGAGACACTGGATGCGGCTTCTGAAATTAGCTGTCTCTTCGTTGAAGCGAGACATACGCGTCTCAGCCTCGACTCGTAAATGGCGCAGCTGTCTCGAGAGACTCTCCTCTGTTGCCTCGTGAGCACTGCGGTCCTGAGAGGCTCTATATAAATGGAAATTATTCAGTAATTCATTTTCTATTCAGCAAAAAAAATGAGACAGGCGGACATTAGAGAGAAAATCAAGACCGGTCGTTAGAAACAGGAACAGATAACGACAATAATTCAGAGCCTTTGCAAAAAATAAATACGTTTTTTTACCTATATGTCTTTGTTTAAAACTTATCAAGTGTTTTACAGCGCTTACATTTATTTCTATATAATTATTAGGGATCAATTAAATTAATTAAGGACCTCCATGCAGCAAATACGAAATCATGCAAATACAGTTTGCAAAAACATTATGATTGTTATTGTCATTCGTAGCTTATTTTGATATGTGTACGAGGTAAATTTTTATAGGTTACTGGTGTTTAACTTTCATCTTTCTTGGTATTCATTTTCTCTATTCTGTTCAAAACAATACTTAATGGGATATACTAGTGAAATAGTGAAATTGAGTGATCAGAAATAATCAATTCAAATGTGTTGAAGATTTTATCGAACCAGTGAAAATCTAATAACGAATACTATCGGAATGCCTCGAAAATAGAAATAATTAACGATATTACAAAGTTTTAGTTCACATTTTAAATTCACTCCACATCACTCCAACAGACAAAGAAACATACGGCATAAATATTCCTATTATTAAGATTTTCTTTCGTTCAAACGTTTCGGTCAAACTTAATTATTGAAATCATCAAAAATTAAAGACACGATTTATAATGAGAGACCATATGAATATATTTTATGAAATTATCAACTCAAAATTTGTCATTTGCTCTTGACTAAATTTTAGGAGAATGGTATGACTTAATACATGTAAATTAAAATAACAGCGTATCTCTATAGTCTATATAATATAAAAAAATATAACTCAGTACTCACTGCAGTGAGTGACAGAGAGCGCATTTTCTCGTCGACGGAAACATGAAGTCACGGACGGACAGACGAACATGGCGAGCACAATAGAGCAATTTTTTCCATAAATGAGAAAATGCGCTAAAAAGGATGAAACTCACTGGTTCTGACAGGAAAGAAGTTCAGCTCTGAGCTGCGTGATGGTCGTTGCCTGCTCAGCTCCAGAACTCTTCAGCTGAGCCAGCTGCCTCTTCAGGGACATCAGCTGATCTTGTGCTGACTTCAGCTCAGCTACTGTGTCAGCGTGCTCTCTCTCCGCCAGCTGACATTTTTATCATTGCAGTTAACATTAGTTTGAATAATGCATGATAAAAACAGAAGGTTAGAAGAAATTAGTTAGAACAAAATATCAATATAACTATCAAATAGAAAGGAAATATTAATGAAAGAGGCGGTTCTATTTTATAGTGCATCAGCGAGGTGCAAGAATTTCGCTAGTTAGTGACAGTCGATGGGCGTTCTCAGAAAGTTCATTCACAAGAATGAAAAAAAAAACATATATATTATATATCCAATACTTACTGTGCAGAGAAGTAGGAGATTTCAAAGAAGTGCAAAATCAGGCAAAGCAAGTGAGGCTGTGCAGTGTGCAGGAGGTCTGCATATAAACGGTGCAAATGACTCAAAGTTTATTCCTGCTTGAACAAGTTTTATACATCAAACAATATATTTCATTTCTACCTAGAGAAATTCTCTTAGCTTCATCCAAGCCACAAAAAATTCAACAAACAAGTAATATAATTTATCGTATAATATACTTTATTGTTCCTTGGAAAAGTACCTACTCTTAGTTTCTTCTATTCGAAAATAGGTTGAAGTTATTTAGAATAGTAGTTATTTCTCACAAAAGAACATGCAGTGTAGAATTCAGCGCATTCAATACAAAAAATATCCCGCTATACAGCGTGGTATTCATGCACATAAACCTGCAGCGTGATATGTTCAGTGTTCAGGTGGTGCAGGTGGTACAGCATGACTCGGCATCCTAATGCGTTTGCCAACTGAATCATTGTTTATTTATAAATGCGAAAATGCATAATAAGAAAATCCACTATAGAGCGTGGTATACATATAAACCCGCAGCATGATGTGTTCGGTCTTCAGGTGGTGCAGCCTGACTTGTTATCCTAATACGTTTGATAACTGAATCACTGTTTATTTATAAACGTGAAATGCATAATAAAAATATGCCAGTAAGAGCGCAGAGTATTCATGCATATAAACCTGAAGTGTGATGTGCTCGGTTTGCAGTCGGTACAGGTGGTACAGCGTGACTCTGCATCCTAATGCGTTTGCCAACTGAATCACTGTTTATATATAACCGCGAAAATGCATAATACAAAATATGCCACTATAGAGCATGGTATTCATATGAACCTGCAGCGTGATGTGTTCGGTCTGTAGGCGGTGTAGGTGGTCAGTAAGTTGTTCCACCTGACGCGTTAACAACGTCGGAGGGGCTGTAGCGAGGCTGGTGGCTCCCCCAGTGTTACTCGCACTGCCCTGAAAAACAATGTTTTTATTCTCAATACTAGCTTCACTTTGACAATTTTATAAACAAAATCTTGCGTTCGCCAAATCAGAACCAGAATTACCTTAAAATTAGAATTGCCACAAAAATTACCGTACCGGATTAGATTACCATTGACTGTATAACTTCTAACTAATCCATTAGATCATCTTAGTGGCAACTCAAATGTTTTATAAGCATCAATGTTAGATATAGAAGTAATCAGAGAGCGTTGCAGAGCATAATTTCTCGACAACGAGAAGAGGTCAATTACATCTCATAGCATAATAAATAAATTTCTCATATCAACCTGTGCTACATGAAAGTTCCTTAGCTTGAAAAAAAGTGCTTAACTTGAAGAAAGGAACCTATAGCCTCTGCATTTCTCGTCATTATTCAGACTTCATTATCAATTCTTCACAATATCAAACTTTCGTTGCATCAGTTGCACGTTCTTCAGCTCTTCTTCCAGGTTTCTTATTTTACATGTTATCAAAATTCATACTTAATTATTGAATCTTCATAATGTCAAACGTTCATTGCACCTGTACGTTATTAAGCTCTTCGAGGTTTCTAATTTTACACGTAATCAAAAGGTTATTATTTACTTATGTTCCACAACATAAAAACGTTCATTGCACCTGCATGTTAATGAGCTTTTCAAGGTTTCTAATTTTACTAATTTTACAGGTTATCAAAATGTTATTAATTACTGATGCTTCACAACATGAAACGTTCATTGCACCTGTGGCATGTTAATGAGCTGCTCTTTAAGGTTTATAATTTGACGATCAGCTTCTTCTTTCTCGTCCCTGACGGCATTGAGCTGACTCAGCAGATCAGTTTCCCGGGTGCTGACATTCTGCTGCGATGTCAGCAAGCGCTCCTCTGCCAGCGCCAGCTGCTCATGAACTTCTGCAAGAGGAAAGCATTTGTCAGCGCAAGAAAAATTTCTTACAGAATTCACAGGTCTGAATAAAACTGTTGTTATATTGAATAAAATAATAATAAAAATCAATGATAATTTCCTAATCAGTAAACCAGGCGTTGTTAGACATCTGCACTGTCTTGATTTTCAAATTTTTACACTGAAGCAATTCTCGCTGTTATTCACACTTGTTGTCGAATTTTTCCAAATTTTTCAGTTACAATGTCTCTTCATTGATATATCAATAAACCATAACCTTTCAGGCCCACAATGAGCCGGACGGTTTACCGGTGCCGACTTTACAAAGGTAGTTCATGTATACCATACAATATGCCCTTTCACGTAGCAAGTGTATCGTTCACTCTCGGCAGCTTTCTCGTCTAGCCCGTCTGCCAACACGCTTTTCAGTAAGCATGATGATGAATGACTTCTATTTTTTTATTTTCTTGTATTGCGATTATGTTTAGTCACCATCATCCTTCCACAGAATATTTTGCTGTTCAGATCACAATTTTAGCATGTAACCGGGAGCTCAGTTAAAAATAATTGGAGATTTACATTTTGTAAGCTTTCTTTACACCAAATTTTCTCCAACAATGCTAGTCGCAAAATGAAGAACTTATTCTGCAACATTAACATCCTATAGGCTATAGTCATACCTTTAGTCTTGTGTCACTAAGAAAACAAAGATTACCTTCATAAGTTTTAATGGCTGTCAATTATTAAAACATTTAACCTCATTTAATGTCATTTAAAGGTGATTATGGTACAACATGTGAATTTTTGAGAGTATTAATTTGTAACAAAACCAACATATAAAATATTTGAAGTCTTCAAAAGACATCAATCGAGATCACGAGCTGGCCCTCACTATTTCAGGTAAATAATTTCATAAGTCAAGAAGTAAAAGAAAGTATCAAAACCACCATCCAGTCTGGAGCGATGCAGCTGAGTCTGACGATGCAGTTCATCCTGCAGCTGCAAGACCTCCTCCTGTGCTGCTTGCACCTTCTGCCTGCACTGCATCTGCTCGTTCTCAACTTGCCTCTGCAATATGGTTAAAGCTTATGTATTCTCCTGTTTTATTTCTGCTCCTACTCTTGATTTCGCTCTTTCCGATTGTACGGTAGTCAAAATAAAAGATCCTAGTGTCAATTGCTTAGGAGCTCAAGCCCATCCAATATTTTTGGAATAAATTTCTTTTAAATTCTACAATTCCCCAGTCAATGCAAAAACTATTAAGATAAAAGAGCTTTCTGAATCATTTGAAATTGCATCAACCCTTCTAAATTTATAATCAATTCAAAATGTGAATTGAAATATACGTTGGTTGCTTATGAATTTGTATAAATATATTTTTAATTGAGAAAACACTAAACAAGACAGAGTAATAATGAAAACTTAATTTGTCACTATTTGGCTTTAGCAAAACACATGCAAAATACCCGTAACACGTGCAAAATACTTTTACACATGCAAAATACTCGTAAATGATTGTCTGCAATAAAATAGATTCATGACTAAATTCACATAAGGACGAAATTATGTCAGAGATTTAAGTTGTGCTTAGTGAACTAATGTCAACTCCGAGGGAGTAAAATAATATCCCCTCTTTTCAAAATGTACCAGTTCATTGTTGAAATAATGCATCAACTGACGAAGAGAGCAAATTGTACATTTTTCTACATTAGCGGAGCAAAATAATAAAAACTAGCACAGATAATTGCAGCTTCTATTACTGCAACACGTGATAAAACAGCATTAACCAGGATACAGCAGAATTAGATTGGCTGCTGAAGAAAAGCAGATTTATTTCACTACGTGTACCTGCAAAGAAATTTGATCGCGATGCGAGACTCGGAGCTTGTCAATCTCCAGCTTGGCGTCATTCAGCTCCTGCTGTAACCTCTCTACTTCTTCTTGAGCAGCTCCAGCGTTTGCCTGTAACAGTAAAATGTTATATATATTAAGAAAATATAGGAAAAATAGAGTGTATGAGAATAAAATAATGATTTGATTACCTTTAGATTTACAGTAACAAAAAATTTTGGTTAAATGGTATAGATCTTAAATACGTGTATTTTCATTTATATATTTTACCATTTTATTGTAGTGCAGAACGAAAAACCACCAAATTATTTAAAATGGATACTTACAAATAGTTTATAGTTGAAGTAATTTCACTCACTTTGCTCTGAGCGAGCTCTGTAGCATGAGAAATTTCCTGAGTGGCATGAGCTTCAGCTCGACGTCGTTTTTCCAGCTCACACTCGGCTAACAACAAACAAACAAACAAACGCGAAGCTAAGTTAAGAAAAACATGTTAATAAAATATATTTAGTTTAAATACAAAATATTTTTTAGTAAAAGTTATTTATAAGATGAATGGATAGTTGATAAAAGTCCACCTAAATATAAGGTTAATATTCTGTATCCTTTGCAAGCAAGTTACCATTTACATTAAATTTGCAATTCTACCAAAAATGACCTGCTGCATCACCCTTGCTGTGTTTCGTTTAGCCAACATTATCAAACTTCTTAAGTCACTAATCATATGTGCATAGTTTCATTCACAGCACAACTAGATATCATGCTCTAGCATTAAAATATGAGCATTTCTGACATCTTTTAAATTAAAGAAGGAACAACATTGCTTTATTTAGGATCAGTATCTCAAAAACATTAAATTAGATAAAAGATAGAGTTTCATTGTTATTTGATACTAGCTCAGTTACACATGATATCAAGATCAAAAGAGCATACCATAGGTAATAACTGTAATTGGTTCAACGGATTTAACTACTACAACTCAGTGCTTGAATATACATTAATTCAAAAATCTTCATGCCCAAAATAGTCTCACAATTGGTCATAATTTCTTTTCTTAGTCTTGGAAATAAGAAATTACAACTTTTTGCATTTCTGCATCCCCCTGCCATGAGTTTATAGTACACAGAAGCCAATTAGAAACAGTTTTATATAGGTATACGTATACCAAACTCGCTGCAATTGAGGTCAAACTTGACCAATGTCAACAAAGAAAGTTTACACTAAATATTGAACACTCTTGCCTGGAGTTGCTGATTCAGCTGAACATTGTTCTGGTACAATTTGCTCTCAGTGACAGTTGTAGATGCTTTTATTTTCTGAAGTTCAGCTACAGCTTCATCTCTCTCTTGTTCCACTGTCCGAATCTGAGAAAAAATTCATTATTTTAAATTCCTTTAAACGTAGGCAGAATAAATTATTTGATCAAGGAATTACTTGCAAACCAAATTAGTGTTAGGCTGTTAGCATTGAAATTAATACCAAAATTATACTGTGGTTATCCTGCTAAGTAAGCAACAGTTAAATGAAAGAAAATGTACCATGTGATGCAGTGTGTGCTGTGTTTTGATCAGTGCTCAATAAGGAAAAAAATAATTAGTAGCAAAAGTACTCAAAATAGACAAAATCTAGTCTTCACAAGGCATTATTCACATTATTCAACCCGAATTTTTGGCTCAATTTATATTAGGATCAGCAGAGCCTAAATTCAACCATTTAAATTACATCAAAATCATCTCCAAACTACACAAAATTTTTTAAATTTGTTTACAAAACTAATTTTTACATAGGTAATAAAATTATTTTTAAAATTTAGTAAAGATGATTTTTTTAGTCTATATATACTAGCTCCATGGATGTACTGATACTCCATACTAGCGCCATGGATATACTGAATTACTGATACCTCATCCCAATTAGTAGAGTGAAGATTGACACTTACATCAATTCTGTGTCTGCTTTCAAACTCTTCAGCCTCCTGCCTCCTCAGTTCAACTTCATGGGCCAGCTCTGTTTTCAGGAGTGCATTTTCATAGCGGTATTGACTTAATTCGTCTGATATCCTCTGAATTTTAAGAGAATCTGGAATAAACAAAGAAGGTAAATATCACATAAAAAAGTAAACAATGTTATAAAACTTTCATCAAATCCTATTTTGATAATTTTGGATTTAATTATCCAGTGACATAAATAAAGGTTTGTCTGATTGTCTCAATTTCTTCAAATCCAATTTGGAATATCAGGCAGAATTTTCTTATAATTGCAGATATAAACAATTGTTTCATGGGTGATTTTCAAAAATCACAAGTCAAAACAGGCAATTTTTTATTTTTAACTGAATAAATTTGGAAAGGGCCATAAGAAAAGAACAGGTGAAATTGGCCAGATTCATGGGCATTTCTGTCTGATTACAATTTAAATTTGGTATAACTGGTAGAATTTTTTTTAAACTGAGGGTAAAAATGATCTCTCAACTGGTGATTTTCAAAAATCACATGCAAAAATAAGCCAATTAACTTAAATTTCACTGAAGAAGTTTGGAAAGTTTGATAGGCATGGGCAAAATTAGTCAAATTTACTGAAATTTCTTCTCAATTCTCAGATAGTTTTGGCCTATTTTCCAATTCCAATTCATGTGTATTTTCTACCCAATTTTCCATGTAGCCAAGAGCCCAAGACTTCAAATAGGTACTGACTACTGAGTACTGAGTATGAAATAGGGATGATAAGGACTAAAAAAAAATTCTAAATGTTATAACTGAACAGGTACATAAAATCAGATTTGCAAATAATTATTTCCTAACTTTTAAATATCATATTGATTCTTTTATTTTCAAGCTACTTTTTATAGTATTTTTCAAGGAAATTAAGCTTTAATAATTATGAATTAAACTTAATTTCATTATTTGCATACATAGAGAATTTAATAAGGTTATTAATTCACAAACCTTCAGAATTTGGAACGGGTAAATTTGGATCCATTTTTAATGCAGTTTCAGTGTTTCTTGCAGTTTTAGCCGTTGCATGAGCTGGACTTCTTGGATGTCTACGAGGTGCACTTGATGGAAGATGTGCATGTGTTTCGTGAACAGTCAGGGGAGCGAAATTAGATAGGGGTATTTTGGAAGTTCTTTCTCTTTCCTGAATCGATTGGCTTGTCTGCTGCAGCAAATAATTGATCGAATCGACATCTAAAACTGGGTCAGATGTTGTGGAAGTTAACGAATCAATTAAAGCACTGACATCATCTCCAGTTGACGATGATTGTGATAAAGAATTCGAATTATTATCCAGCTGACAACTATGAGAAGTTTCTGCAGTTTTTTTACCATCTTCGTTCATCTTAAAATGGATTTGGAACTAAAAATTATTTGAAATAAACAAGTGTCGCTTTTCAGGAAGTCATACTGAGGTGCAAACTGCGTCCGGTTGTACAGAAATGAGAAATTTTTGTTTTAGTTAGAAGGTTTGTAAATTATGTCGGAATTGATGTTATTATCAAAAATAATGGATATTATTGGATATAATATTCTAATCGAAACAAATATTTTCCCTTATACCGTTCCCTTCGTACCGTAAAACGGTGTTCAGTACAGTAACAATGAACGGTATATCGTACCGTTACTTCTATATTATTCGCCTATCTGGATTAACGTCACATATAGAAAAGTAAATTTGCAGAGATAAAAAAATTTGACCGATCGACACTTCTGCGGACCCGCCTGCGGACTCAAACACACCACGGTAGAACTAATATAAGGTTGATCCACGGAAATGACGATTTTTCGCCGTTCTGCGCATCTCTAGAGTGACGTCACTGTGGGCACAAAACGTATATGGTCTAGATCAACACATCGCATATATGGCATCTATGAAAGCATTAAAAAAATTAAATCATCAAAATGGCCCAACAAATTTTACTTACTGTTTGCAACAAGTCTTATTTTAAGCAAAACAGGTGTTACATAACATAACATATTGATAACATATTGATCTCGGCACTGATGTGTAGGCCTGATGTGGCCTGTCGCCGATTCTTTTCCTTTTCGTGCCTTGTTCACAGAAGATCTTAAAACGTGTCATTTGACCGAATCTTTTCATGACTGACGATAGTTTGAAGTAGCTACTAGACTTCCACCGGGTTCGATATGGTGCTAAGCATTTCAAATCTGAACATATATTTTTCCATAGCTTTAGAGCGTCAGTCTATGATTGAGGTGATTCTGAATGAGAGAGGTGAGACTAACGAGGTGGGGCATGAGAGAACAAGCGATGAGTGGATGGCGATAATTACGGGTCTGTCTGAGGGAGCAACTGTGGCTATGTTTGAGAGTGTGAAGAGATACTTGGAAAACGTGTGGAGGATGAGGGAGAAGAGGAGGATGATAAGAGTGGAGTCTTGAGGAATGGAGGGTTGAGAGAGGGGAGGGTGGGAAGACGTGTGAACGTGCCGAATTGTTTTAGTACGTGGTTTTAATTTTTTGCGATTGTCAAATTTTTATATTTTTTCTTAGGACAGCTGTGAATATAGTATATTTGAACTTTTTTGTTAACATAAGAGTGTGAACTTTAAATTTTTTTGATGCTAGTAAAAGTTTTTTTAGGCAGCGTGTATGACCGATTTAAAGGTCGTGACCGTAGGTCACCACGCACCCCAATTCCAATTCCAATACCGTTCCCGTCGTAACGTAAAACGGTCTTCGGTACGGTAACGATAAACGGTATATCTTACCGTTAATTCTATATTATTTGCCTATCTGGATTAACGTCATATATAGAAAAGTAAATTTGCAGAGAGAAAAAACTTTACAGTATCGACACTTCTCCGGACCCGCCTGCGAACTCGCCTGCGGACTCAAACACACCACGGTAGAACTTGAGTTTGATCCACGGCGATGACGATTTTTCGCCGTTCTGCGTATCTCTAGAGTGACGTCACAGTGGGCACAAAACGTAAATGGTGTATATCAACACATCGTTTTTATGTCATCTTTGAATTAATTTAAAAAAATTTACCTCATCAAATTGGCCCAACAAATTTTACTTATTGCTTGCAACAAGTCTTAATTTAAGCCAAGCAGGTGTTACGAATCAGTTTGAATCGCACTGTGGCGTCACATCGACCAAGGTGACATCACGGGTAGAATAACAAATGACATCCGCAAAGCGCAGCTGCGCGTGGGTCAACCTTGTATTAGTTCAACCATGCAAACGCACAACCTAACTTTTCGGCTGTCGCTCAACCGAACCACTCATAACTCTTTCAATACTGAATGGATCTGCTCGAAATTTGTAAGTGATCGATAATCCTATCCCTCACAACAGATTCCATTAGCTTACAAACAACACTTGTCAGACTGACAGGGCGATAGTTGCCGGGACTGCTTTTGCCACCTTTTTTGAACAAGTTTGAACGAATCAGTTTAAATCGCACTGTGACGTCACATCGACCGTGGTGACATCACGGGTAGAATAACAAATGACATCCGCAAGGCGCAGCTGCGCGTGGGTCAACCTTGTATTAGTTCAACCATGCAAACACACAACCTAACTTTTCGGCTTTCGCTCAACCGAACTACTCATAACTCCTTCAATACTGAATGGATCTGCTCGAAATTTGAAATATAACTTGTGATTATAAATGCCCAGTATACAAGAGATAGAAATAATTACAGATTCTTACATTATTTCGTTTTCAATTAAAACGAATAAACGCTATATTCAGGCAAGCGAACCACTCATAACTCGCCGAATTGAAACTTCGTTTGTTCGGTTGCCTGAAAATGGCGTTTATTCGTTTTAATTAGAAACAATGTAATGTAAAATCTGTAATTATTCCTATCGCAGGGCATTGATAATAACTACTTATTATCAATGGGTAATAACTACTTATTGATTGACTACTATTGATAATAACTAATTATTATTATACTTATCATCAATATCAAATCAATTTAAAATTTCGAGCAGATCCACTCACTATTGAAGAAGATATGAGTGGGGCGGTTAAGCGAAAAGTTTGATTGTGCGTTTGAGTCCGCAGGCGAGTTCGCAAACGGGTCCGGAGAATTGTCGATTTGGTAAAAAAAATTGTCACATTTAGATAGCCTTGAGTTTGTTTGATATGACTCTACGTAACTCAAATGTGAATTTGACATCCTGTGTTATTATATCCGTTCTGCAACGGCGTTACGTTGGGTATAGCGACATAAAGTGCCATATAAGATAGAATTTGATGAAAATGCTGCAATTTTACATGAAAACAATTGGTCAATAAAGATTGTCTGTAATCTTATATCAGGGCATTATAAGAAAAACCGCTTAAATCAACTAAAATAACTTACATTTGCTTGTGTTTCTACAAAATTATGTTTTCACACATTATTTTTGTATTACTAAAAGATATTCGTGGATTTCACAATACAAGAGCAATTTTCAATTAATTTTGAACGGTCATAGGTTGATTGAGAAAGATTGCAGCTATATAATTTCTGGTCAGGATAAACCAAGTCATTTACGAAAACTTTCAAAATAATTTATTCGCATGAGTTTTTATGAATTTCAGTTATCATGAAATTTGGTTTTCGAGCTCAAGAGTTTTCAAGCAAAAAAAAAAAAACAGCCAGAGAATACGCCTTTTCTTGTGCGAGAATACGTTTCGGAGTCCAGCTCTATCGTCAGTTCAAAAACATAAAACATAAGTACAAACAATTAGCAAACTGAAATTCACATTGGAGATATTTAAACATAAATTGTCAAATGAAAACTGTCAAAAAATGTTCGTACTTCTATTGTATAGGTTTTTGAATTTACGATGGCGCTGGACTACGAAACATTTTCTAGCATAAGAAATGGTGAAATTTCTGGCTGTTTTCTTTGCACTTAAATTCATGATAAACTTGCGATTTAAAGCAATCAAGTGATTTTCATTGCTACATGAGCTTTAGTGAAACGATATTCGTGGATTTAGCATTAATAGTGCAGATGGTTTAATGATAAATGTTATCAAATGGCTACTGTCGAACAAGAAAATAAAGTAAAAAATATTCAAATTTTTAATCGAACGAAGGAAAAGGAAAATAAAACGTTTTGTTTATAAATTTAAGGAATAGTGTGATATATATGAACCAAAAATTGTTTGCGTCTTTTCTATTAATATAGACAACCACTGAGAAGGACAGCTCGCATTATTTGAATTTACAAATAGAGTGTCCCTTAACCTCAACAAAAACGTTATATATTAAGATAAAGTTAGAATATGCATACTTCGGCATATTGCTTATTTCAATTCAACAGAGCCGCAAGCCAACAAGTTCTTAAATAAAACATCTATCCTGCCATATGTCAGTGGTCGACACGAAACCGTTGTCAAATATCGCTACCTCGCCGATGTCAGCGTTCGCCGACCTACAGATATTGACCGAAACATCTGAGTCACTTCAACTTAAAACATTTCCAGGTTTCCAGATACGCACTGCACACTCGTCACACAATCTCCGTTCAAGTCTTTAATTTGGCACCTTCCGGGGCAGTCAATTCCTACAGGATCCACAAATCTATGAAAAATAGTTTTGTCCGTGTCGTTTGAAGCTTTTCCTGTTGATGAGGCATGTGTCATGTCACTGGGAGATGTGACAAGTTCATCAATGGCCGCGGTTGCCAGGGACACGGTGTGAGAATTTGTGACGTTGATGTTGGTATAGTGGTCGAGGTTTTCTTCAGGCGCTGCCGAGCTTGTGGACCATGGCTGTTTTGGGGAGGCAGTCGTTGACTGTGAGACTGCCTGCAAAAAAAAAAATAATAATAATAATAATCGAGCTTAGCAGTCTCGGGAAACTTGCTTTTGGAGTTATTGATTAACTCTAAGTCGTCTTCATTTGCGTTTTTCGAGCTCGTAAGGCCAATTTCACCTAACTGGACAATGTGAGTCACTTCTATGATTAGCATGAATGGCTGAAACATTTGTATATCAGTATATGTATCGAAGCAGCTTCACTGTTAAACGATAACCGTACCTCAGCATGGAGATTTTTTAATCGCAGCAGTTCCTTTATTCGCCGAGAAGAGTTTTGAACGTGAGGAAAGTCTTCCTCTTACTTCGTAGAAAAAGTGTCATTCCTCACTGGCTGATCGTCTTCGGGTTTGATTGTCAAAGCTGTACACTTCACGATTTTAATGCTCTTGCCTTCGCAAGCATTATGAGTAGAGAGCAAATTGAATGAAATGATAAAAATACTCATATATAACAACAAAATCCTCATCGATTCCATTTTCAAAATATAGCTGTCATGTACAAGTTCGCTGGACTTTTATAAAAAAAAAATCCAATTAACCATTATTTAGTAGCTGCGGGAATTGGAAAGAAAATTTAGGTTGACGATATAAAAGTTACAGACATTATCTGAACATTTATTTTCCAAAGCAAATTTTGAAGGCTTGCCAACAGAAAATTTTGAAATTCAATCACTTTTAGAGATACCAGCGAATAATACAAAATAATTTACTTATTCAACCACTGCATAGGCCCAAACGAAAGAACTGTTTTCACATGCCCGTGTTATCCGAAAAGTTCCGAGATTCCATTTAGAGTACGTACTGTTCGTGCAAGTTAATAAAGCTACAACACTTTACTGAGGCACTTATATGATCATAAAATCGCCCGCAATAAAATAAATATTTAAAAGAACGAAGGTCAGAGGCTAAGAACAACATGACCAGTCATGGCCGTCTAGCTCGCCGCTGTTGATCACCACAGCCGGCGACGACCCGGCTATTATTCATTCATAAAATATTTTATAATTATACGAAAAAATAGTTTTATTATATTAAGTAGATTAAAAGCCAGTTTCAAAATAAATGGCTTCCCCAAAATTTCCTAGTCAGTTGCTGGCGTAACTAACCATTTTCGGAACAAAAACTCATAAGTGAAGAGGTAGAGGTTGAAAGAAATATTGTATATATAAATAATACCAGGCACCCGCTCCACTGCTCGAAAGATATTTGCGGCATAAATATTCAATACGAATATATATAATATCAACTCTCACTTGCTAATTGCTATCTTAGCTTGAATCAAAATTTATCACAGGCTGGCTTAACAGTTTGTCCTGGAATGTTCCACGTAAATGTACAGCAAATTTATACATATTACCAGCACCAGGTTCTCAGTTAAAAAATGTAACATCTAGGTGATACCATTAAAGTGATACTAGAAAGATGATAGATAAATAAGAGTCGTCTGCATTCGAACACCGCGACGTCAACCAAGAAGCGACTGCAGCACCTAGCGATGGTCTGCTCTTTTATAAATATTGACCGAAACATCTGAGTCACTTCAACTTAAAACATTTCCAGGTTTCCAGATACACACTGCACACTCGTCACACAATCTCCGTTCAAGTCTTTAATTTGGCACCTGCCGGGGCAGTCAATTCCTACAGGATCCACAAATCTATGTGAAATAGCTTTGTCCGTGTCGTTTGAAGCTTTTCCTGTTGATGAGGCATGTGTCATGTCACTGGGAGATGTGACAGGTTCATCAATGGCCGCGGTTGCCTGGGGAACGATGTGAGAATTTGTAACGTTGATGTTGGTATAGTGGTCGAGGTTTTCTTCAGGCGCTGCCGAGCTTGTGGACCACGGCTGTTCTGGGGAGGGATTCGTTGACTGTGAGACTGCCTGCCAGAAAAAAATAAAGAAATCGAGCTTAGCAGTCTCAGGAAACTTGCTTTGAAGTTATTGATTAATTCTAAGTCGTCTTCATTTGCGTTTTTCGAGCCCGGAAGGCCAATTTCACCTAACTGGACAATGTGAGTCATTTCTATGATTAGCATGAATGGCTGAAACATTTGTATATCAGTATATGTATCGAATCAGCTTCACTGTTTAACGATAACCGTACCTCAGCATGGAGATTTTTTAATCGCAGCAGTTCCTTTATTCGCCGAGAAGAATTTTGAACGTGAGGAAAATCTTCCTCTTTCTTCGTAGAAAAAGTGTCATTCCTCACTGGCTGATCGTCTTCGGGTTCGATTGTTAAAGCAGTACACTTCACGATTTTAATGCTCTTGCCTTCGCAAGCATTATGAATAGAGTGCATTGAATGAAATGATGAAAATACTCATATATAATATCAAAATCCTCATCGATTCCATTTTCAAAATATAGCTGTTGTGTACAAGTTCGCTGGACTTTTATAAAAAATTCCAATTCACCATTATTTAGAAGCTGCGGGTTGGAAAGAGAATTTAGGTTGACGATATAAAAGTTACAGAAATTATCTGAACATTTCTTTTCCAAGGGTAATTTCGAAAGCTTGCCAACAAAAAAATCAATTCGAAATTCAATCAATTTTAGAGATACCAGCGAAAATACAAAATAATTTACTTATTCAATCACTGCATAGGCCCAAACGAAAGAACTGTTTTTGCATGCCCGTGTTATCCGACAAGTTCCGAGATTCCATTTAGAGTTCATACTGTTCGTGCAAGTTAAGATAGCTACAACACTTTACTGAGGCACTTATATGATCAGAAAATCGCCCGAAATAAAATAAATATTTAAAAGAACGAAGGTCAGAGGCTAAGAACCACATGACCAGTCATGGCCGTCTAGCTCGCCGCTGTTGATCACCACAGCCGTCGACGACTCGGCTATTATTCATTCATAAAATATTTTATAAATGTAAATTATGTTTCCATAATAATGAGAACACCTTTGTCATTAAATGTTAATTAAACTCTTAGATGGACATACTTCTATGGTTATTGCTCTGACATTAGTCGTCCAGTGAATATTTTTAATAACATTTATTATATCAGGATTCCCTCTACTAGGTACTATAGTTTTTGAGTTTAATAACTAGGTTAAAATTTATACACTAATTATTATCTGGTCAACAGACTCATTAATAAAGACGCATCATTAAACAGCTCTTCCAAATATTGTGCATATAATTTAATTTTTTATTTATCTTTATTTCCTTGTACCTAATGTCACCCATATACGAAAAAAATAGTTTTATTATATTAAGTAGATTAAAAGCCAGTATCAAAATTAATGGCTTCCCCAAAATTTCCTAGTCAGTTGCTGGCATAACTAACCATTTTCGGAACAAGCACTCATAATTGAAGAGGTAGAGGCAGAAAGAAATATTGTATATATAAATAATACCAGGCACCCGCTCCACTGCTCGAAAGATATTTGCGGTATAAATATCCAATACGAATATATATAATATAAGCCCTCACTTGCTATCGTAGATCGAATCAAAATTCATCACAAGGCTGGCTATAATTAAGAACCTTCAAGACTCACTAAATTATAGCAAAAATCTGTAATAATAGTTTGTCCTGGATTGTTCCATGCAAGTGTTCAGCAAAATCATACATATTACTGGTATTAGGTTCTCAGTAAACAAAAGTTTAATATTTAAGTGATACCATTAAAGTGATACTAGAAAGATGATAGATAAATAAGAGTCGTCTGCATTTGAACACAGCGTCGTCAACCAAGAAGCGACTGCAGCACCTAGCGATGGTCTGCTCTTTTATATCTTCTACGTTTGTTGGTATTGATGACTTGCACCTCAGAACTGGAAGAACAGAAAATTTTCCCCACCCTGAGCAATGGGTTTTTACTGTGCTTCATCCTCTACTGGAAATGCCCTACAGAAATATATGTCATGGAACGTGGTGCTCATGTAGCTGCTAGAATAGAATAGAATAAAAGTGTCGGCACTGAAGAAATAGGCCCATATGGCGCGTTGCCGATCCATGTACATTTTGTGACTTGATTCATAAAGGAGCCGGCCTTTTGAACCCGATCTTTCCATAACTGACGATTGATTGAGATAGCTGCTGGACTTATTGTCTGGTCCGTAATTTGCTAGGCATTTCAAGACTGAACATATGCTCCTGCATAGCTTCGTCTAGTCTGTTCTTGAACGCGTTCATACTCCGAGCGTCAACGATGCTTTCAGGGAGGCTGTTCCACATGTCGGTGACTTAGAGCGAGAAGAAATGTTGTCGCATGGATGTGTTACAATGTAGTTTTTTAGTTTATGGCCGTGGACCCTGGTGTTGGTTCTTGTTTCAAATTCTAGTAATCCATCTGGGACCTTGTATAAACCATATGGGTATACTTGTATGCTTCAATGAGGTCCCCACGTAGACGTCGATAACTGCTTGGAAGCTTCATAATCTTTAATCTTTCTTCATAGGACTTGCCTTTCAACCCAGGAATTATCCTTGTTGCATGTCTTTGAACATTCTCTATTAAAATTCTGTCCTTTTCAAGTCTCGGTGACCACACGACGTTTCCACACAGCTATAAAATTTGTGTCAATTTAATTAATTTTAAGAAACCAAATAATTAAAATTAATTTCAAATTTATTAATTTCTAGAGTCCATTGGAGTATATATATTCATATGATGATAGAATCTTGTTTCAAAAATGAATTATTTAGAAGTAATATTACTTACAGTATAAATATTTATCAGCAAAACATCAAACATCACTAAAGATCGTGCAAAAGCACCAATTGAAGCTATTATGACAGTAAATTTAAAACAAAATCTTATTACATGTCTACTTGTCAATAAATGGTAATTAATTAATTCCATGTGCAGAATTTAATACGTTTACATCCATACGAAAATTCCATTACGCTATTAATCACTCGTCTCAAATAACGTTTCGGTAGAAACCTGTTTAAAAACACATTTATATTCTAATAAAATAGTTGGAGGCTTGAAATTTGTCAACAAAATTTCATACCTTTAAAGCTGTTGCATTAAATTTACCAATGAAGAATTATAATTAAATAAATAAATGTTACTGCGCCTGAAATTCTTTCATTATGTTCCTTTTTCGGCGAATTATATTTCACTTGGAAATTGTTCCTTCAAAATTAATATCTGATCTTATCATTTGGTTTACTCTGATTTGCATCAAATTCTCTGGAAGGCAAAGTTCGAGGTGTAATAGTTTGATGTAAGTCATTGGATTGTGTTCAGTATGACATAGATTCAAGCGTTTTGATAAATAAATGTAAAAATATCGAGTGTTAAATTTTTAGGCATCAGTGTGAAATGTGTATGCGAACGGATTGCAATTCTTCCTTTTTCATTTAAACATATTACTACAAAATTAGTGTCCTAACCGACCAATCAGCTTTTAGATGTGTGTGCGAGTGATGTTAGAGTCCTTTCAACCAACCAAGTTTTTTATTGAAAAATTTCTTATCTTAGAGTGTCCAAGTTTATGTTGCTTTTCACCTGTCCCGCCTTATCACTTCGTCTCTTTGAGATGCTAACGCTGCTTCCTTCAAGCCAGCTTCAGCGGGCTGGACATCTGAGACCTTCCACCCCTTGTGGTTGATGTTTAACTTGAGATTTTGAATAATTGAGGCCTTCCGCCTTGCTAGAGATGTTATCTTTTGACCTCCGGTGCGATATAGCTTGATAACTGAAGCGGTAGCAAACCATTCTACTACTACTATTCGCCTATCTAAATTATGATATATAAAGAGAAAATTTGCAGATAGAAAAAACTTGTAAGATTTAGATAGTTTTGAAGTTGTTTTGTATCTACGTAACTCAAATGGGAATTTTATTACCAATTATTATATTCTTTCTGGAACGATGTTACGTTGGGTAAAGAGACATAAAGTGTGTCATATAGGTTAGAATTTTATGAATAATGCAACAATTTTGTATGAACATGATTGATCAATAAAAATTGCTATTAATCTCACATCAGGGCATGGTAAGAAAAGCAACATCAACAAAACTAACATTCATTTGTATGTGTTTCTGCAAAATTGTGTTTTCATATGTTTTGCTTCACTAAAAAGATACTCGTGAATTTTGCAATACGTACAAGAGCAAGTTTCAGGTAATCTTCAACGATCATGGATTGATTAATGAAGATTATTTTTGATCGAGATAAACCAAGTTATTTATAGTAACTTTCAAAATAATTTATTAACATGAGTTTTTATGAATTGCAGTTATCATGAAGTTTGATACGTGAGCTTTAATGAAAATATATTCGTAGATTTTGTAATTCAAGTCCTATCAAAACTAGTAAATAACATCGATTTCTTGAATAACAGTGTAAATTGTAAAACTACGACAGTGTAAATGGTAACAGTGTGTAATAGCTACAACACTTTACTGAGGCACTTATATGATCATAAAATCGCCCGAAATAAAATAAATATTTAAAAGAACGAAGGTCAGAGACTAAGAACCACATGACCAGTCATGGCCGTCTAGCTCGCCGCTGTTGATCACCACAGCCGCGACGACTCGGCTATTATTCATTCATAAAATATCTAAAAATTATAAATTATATTTCCATGGTAATGACAACATGTTTGTTATTAAATATTAATTCCACTAATAGATAGACATATTTCTATGGTGATTGTTCTAACATTAGTCGTACGGTGGACATTTTTAATAATATTTATTACATCAGGATTCCCTCTACTAGGTACTATAGTTTTTGAGTTAAATAATTAAGTTAAAATTGATACACCAATTATTATCTGGTCAACAGACTCATTAATAAAGACACATCATTAAACAGCTCTTCCAAATATTGTGCATATCATTTAATTTTTTATTTATCTTTATTTGCTGGTAACTAATGTCACCCATATACGAAAAAAATAGTTCTATTATATTAAGTAGATTAAAAGCCAGTTTCAAAATAAATGGCTTCCCCAAAATTTCCTAGTCAGTTGCTGGCAAAACTAACCATCTTCGGAACAAAAACTCTTAAGAGAAGAGGTAGAGGCAGAAAGAAATATTGTATATATAAATAATACCAGGCACCCGCTCCACTGCTCGAAAAATATATTATTTACGGCATAAATATCCAATACGAATATAAATAATATAAGCCCTCACTTTCTATCGTAGCTCGAATCAAAATTCATCACAAGGCTGGCTATAAGAACCTTCAAGACTCACTAAATTTCAGCGAAAATCTGTAATAATAGTTTGTCCTGGATTGTTCCATGTAAGTGTTCAGCAAAATCATATATATTACCAGCATTAGGTTTTCAGTTAAAAAAAGTTTAATATTTAGGTAATACCATTAGTGATACTAAAAAGATGATAGATAAATAAGAGCCGTCTGCATCCGAACACCGCGACGTCAACCAAGAAGCGACTGCAGCACCTAGCGATGGTCTGCTCTTTTATATCGTCTACGTTTGTTGGTATTGATGACTTGCACCTCCCAACTGGAAGAACAGAAAATTTTCCCCATCCTGAGCAATGGGTTTTTACCATACTGCTTCCTCCACTGGAAATGCCCCACAGATTGTGTCACAGAATATGGTGATCATGTAGCGGTTTTGCAAGGAAATTTCGCTACAGCAAAAAAGTACACATGTGGATACATCTCATGCACACGGAAGATGAAAGACTGTTTTAAATCACATGCTTAACATTTTGTCTTCACTCACATTTCAGGAAATGAGAATTCTAAGAAACGTTGCGCACAAAGAGCGGGATTCATATGACAAGCTTTTTAATGCTAACAAGTTATCTCTCGTGCTTTAATTAAGTAATAAACCATGTCACGACTACGATTTAAGATCATATCCACTATTACGAACTATTACACTATTACCACTATTACGAATATACCCGCTTTTACAAATTATATCAATGGAATATACTAATTCACTTCATTTCTTTATTTCCTTTACTGGTGAAATTATGACTACAAATAGCGTGAGAAAATTAAATTAAATTATTGCATATATATAACTATTAGTATTAAATATCATTGATATTTATTTTAGGATCAAACATATTACATTTTTGGTATCAAAATTTGTTATCTTTGAATTAAATGGTTCATGATACTATAGAAGTTTTGTTATTTAAAATTTATTCACGATTCCCTACATGAATAGAGCCAGTGGAGTATATATTTATATACCTATATGCAAGTTTCATTGAAGACCAGTAGAGCATGGACAACATACTCTGGGTCTTCAATCAAATTTGCATGTGTGAATTATAAAGAGGCGATACTGCATGAAGTATAAATATTTTTCAGTGAAACTTCAAAGCAAAAATACATCCCCACCAAAAATCGTGCTAAAGCACCAATTGAAGCTATTATGAGGGTGGTTTTAAACCACAATCTTATTGCATGTCTACTTGTCACTAAATGGTAATTAAATTATTTCATGTGCAGAATTTAACACGTTTATATACGTCATTAATTAACACGTCCATTACGCTATTAATCACTCGTCTGAAATATCGTTTCGGTATAAACCTGTTCAAAAACAAATTTAAATAGTTAGAGGCTAAAATAGTTGGAGGCTTGAAATTTGTCTATATAATTCCATACTTTAAAGTTGCAGCATTAATCATCTAATAACTATTATAATTAAATGAATAAATTTTACATCTGCTGGAAATTCTTTCCTTATGTTCCTTTTGCGGCGAATTATAATATTCTTGAAAATTGTTCCATCAAAACTAAAATCTGATCTTATCATTTGGTTTACTCTGCTTTACATCAAATTCTCTGGAAGGCAAAGTTCGAGGTGTAATGGTTTGGTGTAACACTTTGGATTGTGTTTAGCATGACATTGTCTCAAGCATTATGATAAATAAACGTAAAAATACAAAGTCTTAAATTTTAAGGCATCAATATGAAATGTGTATACGAAAGGATTGCAATTCTTCCTTCTTCATTGAAACCTTAATACAAAATTTAGGTCCTAACCGACCAATCAGCTTCGAGATAAGTGCGCGGGTGATGTTAGAGTCCCTTTTAACCAAGTTATTTACTGAAAATTTTCACATTATCTCAAAATTTCATTCAATATTATATTTTGTTATAAACTGACTAGAGATTGTCACTTCTCAAGAATGTTGGTATAATTTAATCTTGAAGGTATTTTTAGAATGTGACCTGTCTTTCCACAACCAAACTTTCTTGTTGGCACAACGTTTAGGCCATTTTGTGAATATAAAACGTGTCACGCAGGACGAAGGCGAGTTTTTCGTGATTTCATTAATATATAAAGAATTGTAGGATATTGATTGATATTATTATTTAAGATGATCAAATTTCACATAATATACCTTATCATATTCATTTTTGGCAAATTGGCATTATGTTTTGCATGTTGGAAATGAAATCTGTAACAGTAAATTTGTAGGATTACAAATTATAGGTAGTTCTATTTGATGAACATAAAGTATCACTTTATTGTGAGTTTATGTAACAGTCGTTATGACAAAAGCATATATATATCTTCAGTTTTTTTTAATTGCAGACTTTTTCAGTGTTGCAGTTTATTGACGAATTAGTATTCATTAAACGTCATTTGAAAAAGGAATATTGAACATTCATTTCAAATCTATCAATTAGGCTAGGCTAGTATCATCTAGCCTATGTCATTAAAGTTGCCAGTTGCCACTCAGCAGCAGAAACTGCATAATGCACAACATAGTGGCAAAGCAGAGAGTTTTTTAGACTCTGTCTCAAGTTCATTTTTGAGTCCTATACCTAAGTAGGGTAAACGCGGTATATTCCGACATCGTAGGTAATTCCGTCACTTCTCTAGTTTTTCTTATAATAAGCTTTGTTTTAGTTCCATGCGTCATAGTGGCAAACCAGACCTTTTTTAGAATCAGTTCATTTTTAATTTCCTCATTTACTCAAGATTTAAATCAATTTCTTAAGTAAGATAAAGCTGGTATCCATGATACTTTGCTGGTCTACTTATAGGACTCAAAAATGAACTTGAAGGCGAGTCTAAAAAACTCGCTGCTTTGCCACTATGCCATGCGTTCATTGATGGTTGAAATGGTGACGCATAGTGACAAACCAGAGATTTTTTAGAATCAGTTCATTTCTAACTTCCTCATTTAAATAAGATTTAAACCAATTTCTTATGTATGATCAGGCTGGTATCCAGGATACTTTATTGGTCTACTTATAGGACTCAAAAATGAACTTGAGGGAGAGTCTAAAAAACTCTCTGCTTTGCCACTATGCATGATACTTTACTGGTCTACTTATAGGACTCAAAAATGAACTTGAGGGAGAGTCTAAAAAACTCTCTGCTTTGCCACTATGTGGTGACGTCATACATTTGCCGCTTTGCGTGTTAAAATACTGCTAAAACACTAGCCTCTAGGTCTTGGCCATCTAGCGGGAAAATATTGAGATCCAAAGAGAGACAATGCATGCCACGTGGTGAGATCATTGAAAAATGTGTCAAATTTGACAGTTGACATGGCTCTACCAAATAGTGAACTAGTTATGGAACTAAAACAAAGCTTAATATAAAGGAAAAACTAGAGAAGTGACGGAATTACCTACGATGTCGGAATATACCGCGTTTACCCTAACTGGTTGTTATTAAAAACCGAAAAAGACTATTCAGTACACAGGAGTCCAGGGCTAGAAAAGTCCTACTTTTTTCTGAAATATTGCAGCAGTATAATGCAGCTCTAATAATCAAATACTTTTATTAGGTATGAAATTTGGCAGCTCTAATCAGTCTAATGTCACATAGGGTAAATGCACCATATTCCAAATCTGACACTTTACTGTGCAGAGAGTGGATGAATATTGCAAGATCTCTGGCGACGTTTCAGTAGCAAAATTTACGCCTTCAGAAGATCTTGCCAACAAATTTAGATTGAAATTCTTGCATTTAATATTAAATATTTATACCAACCAACTATTTATAAAAAAGTAAGGTTTCCGGTACATTGGATGGATCAGGATTCAGGATGCAGTGAAGCTTGTCCGGAAATCAGTTGCGATGAGTTCCCGCAAGAAATATCCTACGCAAATGTAAACAGCAAGTTTATGATTGCGTAGTTGCAGTCACATTAGAGCGGTCAGACTGCATTATCACATGTTCAGTTGACACTTGCTAAACAATCGGGCTGTTTTTAGGGTAAAATTAGTTATTTGGAGTAACATGTGCATGCAACCTTGTAAATAAGTTCATGGCTTGTAAATAGTTTTTCATTACTCAGAACCCAGTCAAAGAAACCCCAAGAGCTGGGGTAACAATGACCATCACTTTTTTGAAATCCATCAAAACTATGAGAGGCAGGAGCCAGCAATTTATGATGAGTGAAGCTAGAGTATAGACCTGTATTTTGCATGTTTCAATTTAAGTTTAACTTATTCTAGTAAAAAAATGGCATCATTTTGAAAAAAAGTGGTCAAAGTTAACCCCATTTTACGATAATGTATGGATATGGTAATATCATAACAATAAAGGGGAAGCAAATAAAAATTGCAGAAAATGTAATTTATTCAACATCTACATCATCTACAAAGGAAAAGGAGGAATTCAGATTGCTATTAGTAATGAATGAGTACACTCTGCATGCTTCAAACGTTTTAAAATTAAGTTTTATTTCAAGTGTCCCAGATTACTTTGTTTCCTGGGGTAATTCAGGACACTTTTATTTTTCATCTGGCACCTCACGAATTGCAAATGGAATTATTTTGAAGATACCATATGATAGCCTTCACAAAGAGCTATAAAGTGAGTCCAAACTTGTTTATGAAATGTTTCATGGTAAGAAGTTATTACCGAAAAATGCTCAAAACTGTCACTAAGTACCCCGATTGACAGTATAATGTTTAGGATCCCAATCGAGGATCTTTAGATGTGTATTGATGGTTATCAGTAGTTTTTGAATATGCATTTAAGGTTTGTAAATGTATATATTTTTCAGCAGCTCCCCATCCCAGGCCTAGGTGGCATCTGAATGCAGGGTTCATTTGCAGTGTTGTCTTATGTAGCTATATCTTGCAGTACACTAAGCTGTCTTGCAGTACCCTAAGCTGGCTTGCAGCAGTATGGTTTTTGCAGTCTGGCCAATTATCCTTCATGCTGTATGTACTTTCTTACTGAAATGCTAATGCTGATTTGATCATTCATCTTTAGTATGCTGTCATTTGAGACCTACTGCTTCTTGGTGAGAAGTTATTATTGTTGTGTAAAATTTATATGTGAAGATGGGGACTGTCTGCTATTTTGGTGATGATTAAAAATCTTGTCTCATGATAGTGTAATAAACCTCTGTACGGTACTGAATTTACTTGTATTGTTTACAGATCTTTGTAAAAAAATTAAGAAATCATGGAGAGAAATGATCAGTGCAGAAGAAAATGTGTATCAAAATGTTATCATGCTATGATTTGTTACAATTTCATCCCTGTTAGCCATTAACTTTTCCAGCCAAATGAAGAATTAGTTGAAATGAAATGAATAATTAGTTATGGATTATGAAATGAACTCCCAACACAATATGTTAGAAAAACCTGATTCTAGAATTGAAACCAAAACTGCCATTGAGTGGGAAAATGAACGAAGTGCTCATGACGTTGGCCTCACTGCATTGAGTTCCCCAATTTCTTCCAACCAAAATTTTTTGAGTTTTGATGCTTATGGCAACCTCACTGCTGAAAAACCTTTTAATGATTCAATAATTTCATCTCCACTTAACCAGAGTTTTGATTTTTCCTCTCCTACAAACTTGGATCCATTGTCATCAGCAGATGGACTCTTCATTGCAAAGAATAACTCAAACACTCCAGAGAAAAATACTGTAAAATATTCCAAACAAAATAAAAGGATAAGCTTCTCTGACACTCAACTGAAGCAAGTCATCAAAGAAGAACTTCCTGATTCAATATCGACATCAACCAGTCGTTATGGACGTGAGAGAAAGAAGCGAACATCTGATGGTTTTTTGTTTGGTACAATCAACTTTAATGAGCTGCGTAAAGTCACAGCTTGTTCAACCACAATTCCTCTCAGCCCCAAGGAAAGAGGTATTTCTTGTGAAAATTCCAATGGTATTAATTTTGACTCAAACCCTCTATCTACTAATTATGATGAAATTGTCACACCAGGTCTTGCTCCTCCTGAAAAAATTTTAACATCTGCTGAAAGTTCCAGTGAGACTGAAGACCCAAACTCCAAAGATCCATCTATATCTGGAAAAAAGAAAACAAAACGAGTGAAAAAAGCCGCATTAAATAGTTTACCACTGACTGAGAATAAAGCTGTGATACACCCATCTCCTAATAAAGGATCTTTAAGTAAAAAATTGAAGAATAACAAGAAATATATTTCTGGCTTGAATGATACTTCTACTAAATGTGTAGGTGATATACATCATTCAAATGAAGAGAGCATTGATGCAAAGAAAAAAAAGGTGTCTGAGAGTGTGTTCGATAAATCTTTTGAAAAAATTGAAATTGAATCAGACAAAATCAAGGATCAGGAGGAGAGTGAAAGAGCCCTGCTCCTGAGTCCTAACAAGAAGGATGAGAAGCCAAATGCACGCAAGAGAATAAACACATTCAATTCCAGTGAGGAAGTAGAAGTAAATTTTACTCCCAGAAAAAAGAAAAAGAAGAACTCTGAGGCATTGTCTTTTTCTCCAGCTGATGACCAAATACCACCTGCTGTATTGTTTGATATGGACAGTGATCACAAGAATCATTTGGAATCAGAAGCTGAAATGAGTTATAATCATACATACCGTATAGATCTTGGTGCAGTAGGTGACATAGTAGATGATCTCAGAATACTCAAAGATCTCACTGAAAAGAACAAGTCTGAATCATTGTTTATGTGCAAAGAAACACCTGAGGAAGCTCCACCACTTTTTTATACTGAACCTTTATGTAAAATTGAATTTCCTGTGAAGGACAGTTTGGCACCATCTGGTCCAAGGAAGCGGGGACGCCCAAGAAAAAGCCTTCCTAATGAACCACGAAAAAGAATAAAGAAGTTTACCCGAAAATCCATTGCAATGGGTGAGCTAAATTTCCAAAATTCATCCAAATCTAATCTAAACAATGAGTCTGTGAAGAATAATATCAAAACTGAACTTGGCTACGAAGAAGACATTTCAAATGACTCAGTTCTCAATATAAGTAATAATTCTTCAGCTTCAGTATCATCACCCATCTCTCATACCAAGCGTGGACGTGTTGTACGCAAGCCAAATGTGACTGATATTGCAGACCTCCATGAAAGGCAGATGCAGGCTAGGAAATTATCAAGGATGGAAAAAGAAATTGCCTCATCTGCTGAAGAGAGTTTACTTGAGGTTAGTAGAAATAAACAGTCTTATTGTAATGTAAAATTGCATGTATTCATTTATTTTTAGCATTCACTTTCTTGCTTTTGCTTGTGTTTTATAATTCTATTGCATGCAGATGAACTGGAGCAATTTTGTTTTACCATTTCATTTTTGTAGCTGTCTTTCTATCTGGTCACCAAGTTTCAATTGCTTTTATTTTATTGTGAATTGGCACAAGATGAAATTTTTTTGCATTTTATTCTGGAAGAGTGGAAAAGGAAAAGTTGTAGTATTTCTTTAGGCTTTAGTCTACTATGCCCATAGATTTGACTGTCTACAAATGGAAAAATCAGTCTTTTGTGATTTGTTGTTTTTCTCCTTCTGAAATTTACTTGTCTGTGAAAACTACATTGTTGGGTTCACTTTTTGTTATTTTTGTCTCTGCATAAACATATTGTCTGGCATTTTTTAACAAAGGATTTTTCCTTGCTGCCTCAGTCTTCATTGGATGCAGTTGTTGGTCGAAGACAAGGTGATTCAAACTCGAGATCAAAGAAAGTTGTTTTGAAGGTGAGCAGGCTTATCAGACGGACCAGTAGAGCAAAATGGAGGAATTCTAATGCCAAAGACATATCAGCATCAGTTGGAATTTGGCCCAAGGATTTTATCCCATTGAGCTTGATGGACCAAAAGAGTACTGGTAATAATATTGGGATAGAAGATTCTGATGCTTATAAAAAAGTTTGGCAGAAGTCTCCATCAAATAAAGAATTTGTTGAAGATTCTTTTGGTGGTGTCATGTCTGGGGCCATAAGATCTATAAAAAATGAGAATCCAGATCCTGAAATTTCTCCTGATGAATCTTCTGAGCCTTCACTAGAATCAGGTGCCATTATATCACCAATCTGCTCTGTGTTGAGAGGATATGTTGATTCTATTGGCAACAAGCAACCCACAACAGGAAAAAACTTTGGAAAGTTAAGTTTAAAGGCCAAAGGGAGAAATTCTCAACATAATACTTTGGGTAAATTGAATTGTAGTGTTGATCATGTGGATAAATTGACTGAAGAAGGAGCAAATTATGGGAAGTTGAGTTTAAAATCAAAAGTCAAAACCAATAATCCTGGCCACTATGCCCTGGCTGATGGGTGTTCTTTTAGTTCAATGCTTCAGCATCAAATTGATGAAAATATTGGATCAACTAAGAAACTTCAGTCTGATGTTATCAGTGGCACTGTTGGCATAGAAATGAAAAATGAGATTTGCCACTTGCCCCCCTCTGAAGAAGATGGTTATTTGTATCCCAAATACTCAGCTCTAAAGCCATCAAAACTTCTGCCCAAAAAACATTCACCTGCCACTGCTTTATGTAAAAAGTCATCTCATGAAGCCATGAAATGCTCCAAATCTCCCAAGGAAGTATTGCAGCAAGTGTTGTTGTCAGTGCAACAATGGTACCAAATGTTGGTGGCAGACATCTGTACTGGCTTCAATCGTATCCATCTTATGTCAAATTCTCTGTCTGCTGGCAAATACATGGAAGAAGCCTCTAATAAATCTCAAGATAAGCGAGAACTGCTGTGTGAATGTGATGCCTGCTGCAAAGGATTGCTGGTCCCTGCTGTCACACTTGAAATGCTGATTCTCAAAGCCAAAGAAAGCCATAACCTGATCTTGGGTGCCCCAAAAGAACAATTTGATGAAGCTTGGTGGCAGAAAAATCTGATGTTGTTCATAGACAGTGTAAGTAGGTTTGAAATCTTGGACATTCAAAAATGGTTGCAGGCCTTTGGCAGTATAATTTAGGTCTTCTTCTTTTATCATTTGAAATTCTCTTATCCTTATAAAGTCTACTATAAAAACTTCTGTTCACTACTGCATTGATCATTTCTTTTCAAACTAAATTTTTTAGCTGTAGATTTTGCATTGAATTTGCTTTTTTCCATGATAGCACACACTCACCATACAATTTCTATAAAAAATTTTTGCTTTCATTTCCACTTTTTATCTCTCAGTTCTAGCACTTGTGCAAATGTTCTCAGCTTCATTTGTTAGAGCTTGCAGTGACTCCAAGAGCACAGTTACAACATAAATTGGATCTATATATTTAAATTCTTTCCTTGTGTGTTAAATTAAAAATTATTCAAGTTGGTGGTATTTTTTTTTGCTCATTTTTATCATAAATTGTGCACTTACAATAGCATAGTTGCTATACTTTTTTTGAATCATTGAAAGTTCAGATACCTTAGCAGATGCTTTTCTCTTGTGGTAGGTGGTGTTGTTTACTGTTTAACCCCTGGGTTTGGCCTGATCCACAACTACCCTCAGACCATGCGCAGTGAATTTGCTCAACTTCATTGTCAAATGTTTTGTCCCTTACTTTCCTTATTATTTTTCTGTCCCCAGAACACGATGGATGCTTGATGCCTGCTGATATCAGTTCTCTTGTTTAATTAATTCAGTATTTTTATAGTATACATTGTTCATTTATTATACTTTTATTACTATTTAGCATATTATTTAACCCAGTTATCATATATATTGTTCAGCAAAATAGATTTCATGCCTGTTATGGTATTTAATGTTATGAATTAGGCAGTAGAGTTATTATTTAAGCATTATTATATAATTGTTTCTATGCTCACTCTGAGGAATTGATATGCTACAAATACTAATGCTATTTTTAAGCTACATATATATACACACATGATTTCCACAGAAGAGCCAAACTTAATCACATGCACACTAAAATGTTTGTGCAGTGTGGTCCCCCTGCAGAGTTGATAGCAGACTTGGAAGAAAAGCATCCAGCCGAGTACTCTGAAGGCAACCTAGTATGGGTGGCTCTGCGGGGGCATCCATTGTGGCCAGCCATCATCATGCAGGATTACAAATCAGCTCAGCACACCCGTCTTGAGGGTAAAAAGAAAAGTCTCATTTGATAAGAAGTAAAATGTTAGATATTGTTTTAAATTTTTGTTTAATATTACCTCCTTATTTGAAATTTGAAATTTGAGGCTCACTCAACAAATGGAATATAGATGTAAAATAAGCTCTTCCATTGGGTAATATTTTTTTTTTATGTTCTTGAATGTTGCAGTGAAGCAGACAGTGAAGGGCTTCCTAAGTCACCGTGTGTATCATGTGCTCTTCCTCAACGACAACCTCAGGGTCTATTGGATGAGAGAAGAATACCTCATGCCATACAAAGGCCGCACTGATATTACTGAGCATCTCAAGTCTGTCAAGAAAGAGGTAAATCTTTTGATCAAAATTATTGTTGAATCCTATAAAAATCTAACTGTGCATAAGAAGATCAAAGTACACTTGAAAACCAGTTACAACAGTCACTTTCTATCAACATTTACTACAACATTATTTATTTTTCAGTTCAACAACCTGAAGCCCACTGAACGTGCTTTCCAATGCCTGCTACTGAAGTCATTACCACACTTCCTGAAGGATGCTGAAGCTCTCCAAGCATCTCCCAAACTGGTCAAGTGGAACTCTGCTGTGGATGAAGCCGAGCTCGCCACCGCTTTGGATAAGTAAGCTCTCACTTCTGGCTATTTATTGATGCTTCCATCTGCTTCATCAAATATTGCACCTAGTCTAAATGATTCACTAGTTTTAATAACTTGGATGAAACTAAGAAAGGAATGTGGATGAATATATTTACAGGTGCGGTATACAGCGCAGTAAACATATTGATATTATACTGTATATTTACACAGTATGGATATATTAGTGTAGTTAGGCAGAAGTTCGTCATTAATGCATGTTTGATTGAAGACCAGAGAATGCTTTTTATTAACATTTTTATTATTTTTTTCAATAAACCAAACAAAATTTCTTGCTGGTGCTTGAAGATCAAAAAGCAGGTTACCAAATGACATTTTACTGGAATACGACATTTCCAATATTCAGTAGGTATTCATTCTCAAGAGGTGAATAGTTTTACAACACTTGAAATTTGGAAATGACCTAAGGTTCAAAATCAAAACTTAAAAATTATTCTGAGAACAACTTCAACATCCTAACAAATACAGTTGTTTGCAAATTGATAGCTGGAGACTTGTCCTTGCTGATGAGAGCCTCTGCTATCGCCAGTCTTGTAGTATAGTGGCACCACATGATGTTGCTGGCGCATGTCTCCAATGTTGCGTGGTTGATGGTTTCATTATGAGCCTCCATCATATGGTTCTTTGGTCCTCCAATTTGTAGGGGCATGTGAGTCGGTGGCTCAGTATCTTGCTGGTCAAACCAATGTAACACAGTATACATTGTGGAAAAGTTTACAACCTTATTTTGTGCAGGAGAATTTATAAGTAACATTGATTTCTTGCAGTTTTCTGACTTTTCACATGGGTTATTTTTCATGATAAAATTCTTGATTTTCTTGTTTTTTTTTAGTAAATCAGGAGTTTTATTTGGTCAGTTAGTGTTGCGCAGCTGATGTTATTTTGCTCAATTGAATTGAAGACTCGTTCACCCATCCTATAACCTCTGCTCATCTGGTTTTGAAAGTAGTTTCTAGTGATACAATCTTTTGATGGGGATTCATCTGGTCGGTTTTGACATATTAAAAAATTTGATATTTCTGTGTCGATAGTTTTATTTAATGCAATTTACTATGTCAGGGAGGACCGGATTCAAAAATACTTCACACTCTGCACGACGTCAGTTAAGCCAGAACCATCTTGCATCAAATATAAGAAGAAGAAGAAAAAGAAGAAGGATGATGGCATTTTACTGAGCTCAGCAGAGATCAAAAGTGAGCCAGGATCCATTAATGGGTCAATTTCAAGAGAGGCTTCACCAGGCATTGATACACGTGACAGAAGATCTCCCTCAAATGAGAGCGATTTTTCTGGCTTTGAAGACAGCTCTTCTGGTGAAGTGCAAAAACGTAAAATTGAGGTTATCAAAACCATCAATGATGGTTTTGACGTTTTCTATAAAGTTAAGTTAGCAGCATATAAAAAAGATCACCACAAAGCTTCTGATGCCCAAATAAGGAAGTTGATGCTTGACCACTGGACTGCCAAGAACCAGGCCTCTAAACAGAAATTTTTAAAAACACACTCTGAGTATCTGGAAGACTCTGATGATATGCTTAAAAGTAGGTTCAGTTCTCATGATGAGCTGGACAACCAATCAGAAACTGGTGGCTCAATAGCCTCAAGACGCAAGAAATCAACTGGTGATGACTTTGATGGAGCGCGAGGCACGTACAGATTACCACGTAATGAAAAGGTCTGCTACAAATGTGAAGCAGTGTCTGCCATGCCTAATGCTGCTGATATGGTGCGCTGTAAGGGTTCTTGTTGTGGATTCTACCACTACTCGTGCTTGGGTCTTGAAGTGAGGCCTGACAATGACAAGGAATTCAAGTGCAATGAGTGCTTGACTGGGCAGCATTTATGTTTTATATGTAAGCTTGGTGGTCGGTTGGTTTCAAGAAAAGACACCAAAGTTAAAGGCGGTTCGGTCGAGAAAAGCTTGGGCAATGGCAGTAAAGTTGCAGATAAGGATGTTAATACAGAACCTCTTGCTGGCGATGATAGCGAGAACAAGACACTTGTTCCCAAGAACTCCAGTCAGGACAGAAAATGCAGGAGAAAGAGTAATGTTAAGAAACCAGAGAAGAAAGAAGAACATCCTAGCAGAAATAACAATGAAATGAAAGATACAGAAGAAATCAATTTCGCGTGCCCTGACAGCGTCATGGAAAATAACAGTAATGGCTTCCCTGATACCTACTTGAAAGATTCTGAAAAACCTGAAAATAGTGAAGAATCATCTCGTATAACACGTTCTGGAGTCAACAATAAGTCAGCAAGGAGCGAGCAATCTGACCTCAGTGAAGCTATTTTTCCTGATACCAAAGAAACTGAAGAAAATATCAAACATGAGCAAATATCAAATTTGAACCCTGAAGCAGAAACGGGAAACGTGAATGAAGAACTAAATCTTGCTGGAAATGCCGACGATGTGGTGAAAGAATCCAAACCTGATGTAAACACAAACAAAATTGATTTGGATTCAAGCCCAGAAGGAATTTCAAGTATTTTGGAAGCTGATCAAAAGTCTCAAGCAAAGGCAGAAAATGCCGAGCAGGATTCAAAACCAGAAGACTGTGCCAACAGTTCCACAGAAGAAGAAATCCATCGTTGTTCTGTGGTAAGCTGCGGAAAGTTTTACCATCTGCAGTGTGCGCTTAGATGGCCTCAGGTGGCACATGGTTGGCACTCAGGCAAGGTCAGTGTTGAATATATAATTTTTAAATTATGTGATTAATATTTTTTTTTTTGAGCTGGAAAGCAAATGTGATCTGTGCTTCTTACCAAAGGAAGATTATGAAATTTGGCTCATTTGACTGTTCCATAAACTTGTGGCAATTATTGTTGAACAATCAAATGCATCTCTTTTCACGCTTTGTTAAGTTAGCTAACCATTGAATACCGTATTTGTTAATGCAGGAACGAAATACTCTGAACATCAACTTGAGATTGTCTTTCATGTGTTTTTATCATTATCATATAATTTTATTTATATCATTTCAAGACATCATCTCTGACAACCATGTGCAGAAGCTAGTCTGCCCTAGGCACATGTGCCACATGTGTGCCGCAACAGCCGAAGATATGGGATACCCTGCGGCCAAGACTGGCTCCTTCACCCGCTGTTTGAGGTGCCCTGCTACCTACCATACCGGTGAGACTTCGTGTTCAACATTTCCTGTCTTTGCCTGATGCCTTGATCAGATTCAAAATTCCTGTTATCTTGCCTACGATGACTTACCCACCAGTGAGAGTTATCTATCTTATCTTATCTTATCTCACTTATCTTATTTACGGGTACGTACCTTTCTAACGTTACGATTGTTTTTCTGATGGACTGTGTATAGACCGACTGTGGAAAAAAATGCTAAACATGGGAGCTTGCTGATTGCGGAGTGGACTAGATTACTTTCTGCTTCTCCAGCATGAATCAAGTTATGAAAAATGAAAGTAGTAAGGATCACTATTTTTTTGTATTAATGTAATTTTTTTGCATATTAGATAAACCCAAGCTTATCTGATTTAAACTTCAATCATAAATACCGACATTTTTTTTGTAAGGTTTGTTTTTTACATTTTTGCAGCACAATCTAGAGGACAGTCGGCCTGATGTGGCCGAAAATTTTCTTTTTGAAAATTGTGCTGGAATCTAAAAAGTTTTAATTTCTTTTCATTGATTTAATAGATCTTATCATAAAACTGGAGGAATGGGAACATTCTTAATGAATGTCTTAATGTCAACCGTTATGCCTGCAATGAATTTTAATTTCCTTATGATTGTGTATTTCTTAGTTTAAATACACAAAAAACTAGAGAACTAAAATTTAGTTGTTAGTGAGTACTTACTAATTTTCTTTTCATCATTCAAATTGCGTGTAAATTTTGATCTCTCTTTTGGTCCTTCCTTTTTTGGTATTTTTGGTCCTACCTATTACTTCTTTATTTCAGTAACTGTTGAGTTAATTTATTGCAAATAATTTGTTTGAAAATTTGGCAAATGATAAGTGGAATACATTTCCCTCTGTACATTTTGTTCCTAGGCACCGACTGCCTGGCTGCTGGTTCTGGTGAAATAAGCCTCGGCTGTCACGTCTGTCCTCGACACAATGCCCAGGCCAAGAGCAATCATTTCAACGTCACCTGGTGCTTCGGCTGTTCCAAGGTAATTATTATTGATTGATTGTTACTTTTCATTTTAAAAAAATGTTTAGCTCATGTTTGTTCATTTATTTTTTGCTTTAGTTTGCTCCAGCCGCTTATGCTTGTGTAATTTATTCATTCCTTAGTCTACCGACGAATAAATTTTATGCACTTGTTTTTAAGGTAGCAGGAGCAAAGTTTGTCTTGTGTTTAATGCATCAATTCAATTTCCATATTGAAATATATAAAGAAATCATATTTATATAATTAATGTTATACTTTTTTATATGAAGTGTAATTTTTTTATAAAATTTAAAGGCAAATTAAAGTGAAATCAACCCAATATCTAAATGTGACGTTTCTGTTAAATGCTTTCCTCCAGGAGCTAACCATTTAAATAGCATGGTTTTATATGCCGAAATTTCAGGGAGGCTCCCTGGTTCTGTGTGATGAGTGCCCCGCTGCCTACCACTTGGAGTGCCTAGAAGTGCCTCCGTCTCCTGAAGAAGGCAAAGGTTTTGTGTGTGATGACTGCATCAACGGCAAGCTGCCCGTGTATGGAGACATTGTCTGGGCAAAGATTGGAGCTTACAGGTGCCTGAGTGCTCTTTAATATAATTATTCAGTTTAATTAGTTCTTAATTCGGTAATTCTTCAACAACTAAAATATCTTATTGACTGATGATGTTGAGAGACGGCATTATGGGGTGTGAAGCATTGGGATCAAAGTTATATACTTGTTATGCTAGTATTCATTGGTGTGTGACTTTTCCATGAGTTAGTGCTTGGCCTTGTGTCATTTAAACTTCTTCACTTCACTTTTTTTGATACTGAAATTCAGGATCTATTTGAAATTAAAATTTGAAATCATGTGAATGAAATTCAACAATGTCAATGGATTCTTTGTTGAAAAAGATGGTGGCCTGGTCAAGTGTTGCACCCACGCTTCATCCCAGACAACATAGAAAATTTGAAGCACACACAAGGCATGTTCTGTGTACACTTCTTCGGTTCCAACGACTACTACTGGGTGCACAGAGGCCGCGTCTTCCATTATCAGGATGGGGTGAGTGCAGATTTGAGGCTCGTCTTCCATTATCAGGATGGGGTGAGTGCAGAGTTGAGGCGCGTCTTCCATTATCAGGATGGGGTGAGTGCAGAGTTAAGGCACGTCTTCCATTATCAGGATGGGGTGAGTGCAGAGTTAAGGCACGTCTTAAATTATCAGGATGGGGTGAGTGCAGAGTTAAGGCACGTCTTAAATTATCAGGATGGGGTGAGTTCTGACATTGTATTTGACTTCTTATGTTGTTATGCACTAATCATTATCACTGCACTTTGCAGTCGTAGTATAAGACACCTATTCTAGTGAAATAATTATGTGGAGAATTAGAGTAAGAGGATCTCGAAGTAATATTTTGCCCAGATAAGAAGAGTTAAACTATCATCTTCAAATTAAAAACCCACCAAGTCGCGAATGTGGTAAAAAAATTAATTGCAACATAAATTTTAAATGTACCAGGAATTCATAACTTTTTTTTTATTTTACAGGATCGAGGCTGCAAGTCGTACCAGAAGAGCTCCCTCAACCGGCAGTTTGAGAAGGCTCTTGAGGAGACCAAAATTGCCTTTGAAGAGGAGCAGACCAACAAGAGTCTCAGGGAGGCCCGCAGACACGAGAAGGAAAGCACTGTGAGTCTTGCGTAATAACGAGAAAAATCCTATTTCTGACATTTTAGTAATAAAATAGTTCGGTTAGAACTTTTAAATAAAAATATTACTAAATTTATCTCTGCAGTTTCTCAATATTTGTTGAATAAAAATGCCTACCCTAGTAACACAAAAATACTTCAATTATTTTTTAAATATTCATTTCCATTCTCATTTAATATCTTTTTTGTATAAACTTTCAATTTTAATGTTCAGCTACGATTTACATGTATTAATTTTTAATATTTATTTATCATATATCTTACCTTGATCTTTTTACTACAAAACTCACATAGAAGTTTGTTTTTTCAACCAGATTCTATCAAGTTCGGAATATGTGTCTATCCGTATCATAAGTGAATATCAATTTCAAGAACTTCCTCATTTGTTTGTTATGACACGAGGTCTATGTAGTACTGAGTCAATATTTATTTAATTCATACAATTTTTCTTATTCTTCCGACTGCAGAAACCGCCGCCGTTTGTGCGTATTGACACGAATCGTCCTGTGGGTAATGTCAAGCGCCAGGAGCTCGAGCTGCCTCCAAAGTGTGACTGTGATCCATTGTCTGCTTCACCCTGTGGACCAAACTCGAACTGCATCAACCGGTAACGTATTATCATATTGTAGATAATAATTAGATCAATATTTAGATTAGTTACATAGGAATGTTGAGCGCCAAGAGCTGGAGCTGCATCCAAAATGCACATGGTGAAAGCAGTGGTAATGAATGAAAGAGACATCGAGATGATAGGAATATTTTGTATTTTATTAATGCAAAAAATGGCAATGTTAATTGAGTAGGTATTGATTTTAAGTGGTTTGAAGTGAAAAATTTGCTATATTTCATATAATACAACCATATGAGAATTTTTTACTAGTTTTTTATTCACTTTAAAGAGGCAGAAAGTCTGCTATATTTTGTCTTTTACCAATTCTCGACTAGACCAAATTACTCAAGTCTTAACAAGAAGTATAATCAAGTAGATGATAAGATAATACCATTTACTTAAACAACAACACGGTAATATCTGCTAATTTTGATATGATCAATTATCAGCATGCTTCCAATGTCTTAGTAGGTATGTTACATATATATTTTAACATGTTTCTGTACCATAATTATCGAGTTATCCTTTGCCAGGACGTTTGTGTGTTGAAAATATTAAAGATTATTATATGTATTTAATTGAGTTACCCTTTGGCAGGATGTTGATGATCGAGTGCGCAGTGGAGACGTGTGCAGCGCGCGAGCGATGCTGCAACCAGCGCTTCCTCCGGCGCCAGTACCCGCAGCTTGCGCCTCAGCGCGTCGCCGGCAGAGGCTGGGGGCTGCATACCCTGCAGGACATACAAGCCGGTATGTTGTTCTTGTTGTATGTCGCTTAGGTGGGGGCACTTAGCTCCTAGTTATTGTTGCCTCTCATTATTATAGGGCGTATGTTCAACTTCCAAACGAGTAAGGTAAGGGGCATTTTGCTCTTTGATGCTGGTTTTCTTTGTTGTATGGTGCATGTTTAACATGCAAAAGGGTATGTGGTTTGGGTGGGGCATTTTGCTTTTATTTAATGTTATATCTCTTTATTGTAGAACGCATGTTCAACATCTAAGCGGGTGGTGGGTTTTGTGGGCATTTTGTTTTTAACTAGGTACTGTTTAGGATATCAATTATAGAATGCCAGTTATTTTTGGTTATCAAACTCGTTAATTTATTGTGCCAACACGTCAGTTTTATTGAGCCGGTTTGCTTCCTTCTATGGAACATTTGACTCACTTGTACATCATCCCGCCATGTTACTAGGGAACGTCTGCTTGTAATTACAGCTTTTGCCCGATGTTAATGAAATCTACTCCACGTACAGGTGACTTCGTGATTGAATACGTTGGTGAACTTGTGGATGAGACCGAATTATGGCGACGCATCGACTACATGCACCAAATTAATGAAGAAAACTACTACTTCCTCACCATCACCAAAGATATTATTATTGATGCTGGACCCAAAGGCAACTTAGCCAGGTAATTTTGGCAAATTTTTCGTTTCCAAATTATATCGTATTGAAAGATTGGTTACAAAGTTCCTACATATTGTATTTTCAACATCTGCTATGCTTGTATAATATTGTTTACTGTGAGAATTCTTCATTGATGCAACCACAGATCAATGAATGAATCGTCACGTGAATCTTAAGTTAAACTGAAAAAAAACTCGTATAAACCTATTTTACTCTGCAGATTCATGAATCACTCTTGCGAACCAAACTGTGAGACCCAAAAATGGCAAGTTGGAAGCGAGACTCGCGTGGGCCTGTTCGCGTTATGCGACATCCCTGCTGGCTCTGAAGTTACGTTCAATTATCACTTCGAGTGCGTGGGCACTGAGAAGAAGAAATGTAACTGTGGTGCCACCAACTGCAGTGGATACATCGGGGCTAAAGTTCAAAAGGTGGCTAACGATTTTGTTTTCTTCTCCTTATTCGTAGTCGATCGTATTTAGTTCACAATATAAATGAGTTAATTGGGCATTTAATCGTCCAGTATATTTTAGTCTTAGGGCGTTGGGGAGATTCTAATTATAACGAAAGGTTCACTTGAATATATGTAAATGTTATTCTTTGCTTGTTAAAGTCCATTTTATGCTCATTACTCGCTTCAATCTCCTATTTTTTTCATAATCATCAAACATATTACTTTGTTGTCTGCGTTTATGTTGTTATCAACATTCGTCCGCCTGCCCATAGATTGAACCAAAGAAGCCAGTAGGTTTCGGTAAAAAGAAGAAGAAAAAGAAGCCCGCCACTAAGGTCACGGAAGACGAGTGCTTCAGATGCGGCACCCCCGGAGACTTGATACTGTGCGACCTCGCCGCGTGTCCCAAAGGCTACCATCTTGAATGCCTTGGTCTGGAGGTGCTCCCTAAAGGTCAGTGTATTTATTATTCAATTCATTTCGCAATGTTTGAAGCTTTGGTACTCTTTTGATTACTAGTTTCAACACTCCAATCGAGGAATCATTCCTGATATTGACGCATTTTTTACACAGCGTATGTCTCAGTTGCTTTCTTTAGACATAACATTTTTATAGCAACTAATATTTGGAAGGGATTCAAAATTTTTCATATGAGCGGCTATAAAAAGTTCATTTTGTGTTCGTAGTCCCATGAATATCAATTTGAATTATAGAGATTGTAAAACATTAATGTACGCTAGAACTTTAATGAATTAATTTATTCATCTAATTAATAATTGATAAAACATGCAGGGAAGTGGGTGTGTCCTTGGCATCACTGCGATGAATGCGGCAACCGAGCCATCACCCGCTGCTTCATGTGTCCCAACAGCTTTTGCAAGGTTCGTTTATTGATTTTGAAGTGCTTGTAATTGTAGAAGTCTTTAGTCATCTTGTTTTATTTATTTTTCTTGATTGTTTTAAAATGAGGCAAATCCATTTTTCAAATCCGTGAGTCGAATTTTATGCAAACATCAAAAGATGCAGTGGTTGATCCTGTTTTATCTAAGCATGCTATCCCAAAGAAAAAGAGATAGACTTTTAATTTTTCATTTAAAATTCACTTTCGAAAGAGAGAATTGATGTAATGCAATTACATCCGTTGCTCGGTTACTATTGGTCCTGTTAACACTTTTAATATATTGCTCCTGGTAATTTTATTATTAATACCCATGATTTTTTAAAATTTTGCTCGCTGTATATTTCTTGTTAATGTATTATCGCCGTCTATGTAGCACAGTAACTTTTCACTTGTTTGTTCTTCTATGTAGGCTCACATGGAGAATAAGATGTGCACGTCCTCGGACGTGGCCGGCGGTGGGGTCTCTCTCACCTACTGCGTAGGGCACTCGGAGGAAAACGTTCGGGAGTTTTGCGATCTCAGCAAAACTGCGGCTGTGAGTCTTATTTGCAAACAAGAAATTAGAAAAATGATTCATTTTCAATTCCCTGATCTATAGTTCAAAATTCTATTCGATAAATATTATAAGTATATATGATGATACTGGTATCCATGACTTTAGTTTACTCATAGGACTCCAAAGGGGAAGAGCCTAAAAATGTCTATGCTCTACCAATCTGGCTGCAAGTCTTATTTGCTGCTACCGTTGTCACCACGAGCAACTGAACTATATATAGTCTAGTCACATTCAATCAGATAAGGTTTTTGTTTATTTTTGTGTTGATAAAAAAAAGGACAATTGTAGTTCTGCTGATCCTGATATAATATACCTACTATTTATGATGAAGGTAGAAAAGTTGAGATACGATTAGGTTAGTCACAAGTCACGGGAAAAGATAGAAATGATTGAAAATTTTTGGGATATTTCCGTTCAAGCTTCGTTTTTGAATGAGCAGTAAAAATTTGAAGTTTCGAAACAGTGAATTCCTTATTTAAATAATAAAGTGTTTTTTTTTTTTTGAGATCCACCTGGTAGTTTTGGCCATGAGGTTGAAGTTCCTCGAGGGCAAAACGATATATTTTCCTAATGCATACAATAAATGTGGAAGCATAATCTAAATTGAAGCTCCGTGACTGATTTAATGGGTTAGCCATCTTCTCTAGCTCAGGGCGCAGATGGAGGCAGCGAGAGCGGTGAGTCCCACTTTTCTGGAAGGCGCCCAAGTCATAGCAGGAGCAGCAGCAGATGCAGCAGTCCTGCCACTGCAGCACGAGCAGCTGCAGCAGCAGCAGCAAGCTGCAGCAAGGAAGTCTAAAGAACGCAGCGAGCGAGCCAGAGCGCGACGGCAGTTCAGGGAGGTAAGAGGAGGAAGGTTTTTGACACAACAATTCGTTTATTGATTGATAATCGTCTTTCCTGTTTTATCCTTTGCAAATTTATAGAAAATTTTTTGTTGATAAAATAGGCAGTACAGATAAAAACGGTACTTGACAACTGTTTTGGAAGTTCAACTTCTGGAGATGAAGCTCGCCCAAAATTTCCTGATAAGGGCCTTAATCTAGGCTTGTTTTAGTAGTAAAACAGGATAGAGAAACGGTTCTTCACGAAAATATGTGCAGTTATTTCCTTTCTACCATTGTACCAAGCCAAAAAATTTTGGAAAGAGCATTAATCTAATCTTGTTCCAGTTGTACAACCTGACGGAGATGTACAGCGAGTACGGGGGTGGAAAGTTGGATGTCATCGACCCAGAGCAGCTCATCATGAGCATCAAGAACGTTCCAGGGTGCAGTGATGCGGATCTCAAACTTGAAAATTCCGATGACGATTCCGACCACGAGGCCAGTAAGATATGTTCATATAAACGAAGTAGAAGAGACTTTGTCGACTTGAGCTCTGATGAAGATAGTAGCGGAGACAGTTATGTAGAAACTGTGAAAACTAAATCAAATTTTACCAGGAAAAAGAATAGTGAAGTGGCCCCTGAAACCACCGCAACTCGAAATATAAGTTCTCTGAATATTGCAGCTGTAGATGGATCAAAAATTGGCTTCCCTGAAGATAGTTTTGAGCTACAGGGAATGAATGCTTCTTTAGACAAAGAAAAATCAAAACTACAAACCTCGCCCATCATCAACGTTGTTGTAAATGTTAAGCCTCGACGACAAAACAGTGACAGTAGCTTGATATCAGAATCGAAGCATCCTTTAGGTCATCATAATTTTAATGCTGCCGGATCATCCGCCGAAAAGGCTAGGCGTGAGTCAGTGGAATCAATTGAAACCCCAGTTACTAAAAAACTAAAGAGCAATGCTGAACCATCAAGAGACGAACGTCGTGACGATGTTTCGGAAAGTCTTTCATCGAAATTATCATCAGTAGATTCTTCAAATGAAATGAGAAGTTTGACAGATAGATCAGTCTCTGACAACGATGGGGCTTATGGTGCGATGACATCTGGTAGACTCAGATCCTCCAAATGTCAGAAGCAGTTACCAACTAATAAGTCTCCCATCTTACGTCTTCCTGATCCTTGTGGAACCGAAAAATCTTCGTGCGTGGCCAACAATCGCTCTGCTAAAAAGATGAATCTTGCTAAAACATTGGATCATATTCCTTCTCGTGATTCAGAAAAGTTGTCACAATCTCCCAATAATTTTTCAGATTCAAATGAAATCGAACCGTCCAATGTTTTTCCGGATTCGATGCCACGCGGCAAAGCTGTTATCTCCACCAATAAATGCTTGAGCAAGTCTTTGAGCTCTGAACCTTCCACTGCCTCAGAAGATAGGCGTCATTTTGCTGCAGATAATACCGATGTTCCCAAAACCAATGGCATTGATGGTCACTACCCTCACCAGTCTGGCTCATTCATTTCACCGGCTAAACATTTTCGCGACTGTCTGTCTTCTAGAAACGGATTAGACACGCAAGATGTTGATTTAATAAATTTGTCTAGTGATGCGAGCTCGAACAGCTCACCCCAGGCTTCTCCTTCCACTCAAAAGCTTCGGAAGTTGGTGTCCAATAACTCAGTGCGTTCGAATGTGGTGTTCAAAGTTGGCCGACATTTGGAAATGAGCTCATCCGCTCTCTCGCCTAGAAAAACAAGCTTGTCCTCGCCAGAAGAGAAGAAGCAAAGCTCGAGTAACGTTGCTGAGGAGGAGGAGGATGATTCTGATGATGATGTAGTGCCTCTCACTGTACCTACCATCACTATTGCACTGTAACATAAGATTGTAATTAATGCTCCGTCTTACATTTTAATCCATTTATAAGCCGTTTTATGTTCTGGTTACGTAATTGATGATCTAGCAGCGTCTTTTACGATCTTTCATCTAGGCTTAGCTGTCAAAAATGGCATTTTCCTGTTGTAAACAAGACTCTTGATGAATATAAACTCTTTAGCTGATTCGTAAAATCTAAAGCCCAGTCAATTAATATCTCCTGTGAAATATTCAGTATTGTTGAAATTGTTCCATATATTTCCAGTTCCATTGTTGAAATTTTTTCACTTCTCATCATAATTATGGGATGTTTTTTCCCCTCATTGGCAAATTTGATATATTTTTACATTTAGCCAAACCGAAATTAACGAGCTTCCTTACTTTCGTTATCTTTTGAGCTCATTGGTTTGTGGAATAGAATTCACTTACAGTATCACATTCGTAAAATTCATCTCTCTGCTCCCATGTTCTCATTTGTAAAATCCTTCTGTTCTAATATTCTTCATGTTTGCCGCTACTCTTATGAAGTACAAATTATGTAAAAATATTGTACAGTTGCAGCAAAGTTGTCTGCAATGTATGTTTGTTGTCTACCTAAGTGGTCTTCCTTTAGAATTCCAAAGGAAGCTATGTACATACACTAAGTGTGACAGCTCTACGTTAGCGTCCTTTTTTAACATGGTTGCGTTTTTTTAAAGTTTCGGACGGTGTGCAGATGCTGGCCCCTGCAAACTAGAAATCCGATGTATGCTGCAAATGACTGCCAAAATGTCTTTTAAAACTAGCCTCGGTTGTTATTTAAACACTATGTTCTTTACATCCTTGCTTCAAATCAGATTTCTACTAGCATAATTTTTCATAGCTCATCTTTTGCAAAAGATAATTTTCACTAGAGCTTGTTTTGTGTCTATAAGAATGAAGTTACAGTTCTTTCCTCGGCTATTCTTGCTCTTGTCTCCCAAGTGAATTAACCGCTATATTTGAACTAAGGGAATTCACTCGATTGTCATGCAGTCATTCACTTCATTCGAATTACAACTCAGATGCTTCAATAGTTTAAATCACACTGCCCCTAATTTAATATATGTTTTATTTTGCACGTGTTTAGCCTTAGTATTAATTATCATAGCGTCCATGTGTAGTCCAGCGTCGCAATTCGCGGAGCGCTTTTTTGCTTCGTTCTGTAATGCAACGCTGATGAAGCCAATATTTTTAGCTCTCATGTTAAATGAATGAAAAAGTTCTATGTATGCTAAGTGCAACTTTGTCTGCAATCTGTGTGGTGCCGTTGTTTTATCCAACAAATATCACCCTGCGTATTTATGAACAAACTGTACATAATCCTTGTTATTCAAAAATTCTTGTTTATGTGAAAAACATCGACATCAAATATTGGAAGATTCGTAACAATTGATTTTTTGTTGTCACCTCGAGAGAAGGTCCGGTGTGACCACGCCCCATTACTTATTAAATACAACGTACTTGCTTGTAAAAATTACAACTTCCAGAGTGTGTTCATGTGAAATTTGGATTCTTGAATGAATGACAAGTTCAATCAATGAATGACGTCCATTATCTGCACAACTGCATGACCGATCTGAAATCGGTCTGATTTCAAATCCGAGTTGCGGGTATCCTATTTACTGCAAAAATTTACCATTAACAACAAAAACTAGAATCGGAAATCGCTTACTATTCGCTTGACCGTTGATCTTATCGAATGGCTGTTATTCTCTAAAAAATTTTTTTGCGTCGATCATATTTTCTGTTTTAGTGTATTGCTCGATTTTTTTTTAAGATTGCTGTGGCTGCAGCCTATTTGTCGTTGAGCATATCCATGTGCGTGTCAGGTCTCGCACTACCAGAATGCGCTTGGTTTGATGGAAAGCTCGTCTTATTTATACAATTCTAGGATTCCACAGAACATCAACAAACTTCATGGTAATTGTTGTATGTTTTTGAAATGTTTTTCATGCATATTACGTTTTTATCTACTTGGTCCAAACGCGTTCAGTATTTTGTATCCAATACTTGTGTTTTATTAAGCCTCTTTTTTTTGCTCTTCACGGCATTATCTCATCACGACCAGTAAAATTCTGTCGGTTTTCTTCAGCAACAGAAACTTCACAGTGTGATTGAAACGTAATTTCTCACTGTTGAGGAAGACGCTTCATTAAATTAATTATCACGCGTCTCATTCTAGGCCTAACCTGTTAATTTTACTGCATTCTGTAATTTTATTCCCGAAGAATAATGTTGTCGAATTATTAAATAGGGTCTTAAATTATGTTTTTATATACTTTGAGCCTTCCTTTCGTTTCCACGTTGTAACTTCTTTACCCTTCACGTCAGAAATAATTGTAAGTGCATTAGTTGCATTAATATTAATAGTTGCATTAATCTATTCAATATAAATTGAATAGATTGAATTGTACCTCATTAATTGAATGCGGTACGGTAAACTGGTGGATCGCATTATGAAATGCGCCCTGAATACTGCTTAGCCGCACTTAACGTGTTAATGCTGACTGTTTCCGGAGTATTTGCCTCTGACGAAGTTTCGTTTCGTTACTCGAACAATTTCTAATTAAGGAAGAATGCAAGCAAGGAAAGATTTACGTAAGAAAGTACGTAAATTTAAATCAGAGTCATAATTCAGACGGCAACAATTACACTGAATAACCAACGACTTCGCAAACGTAGGCAGACGATTTTTCATCTAGCAATAGAAGCCCCCCGCTATTCTAAAAAAGTTTGAAAAATGGATGTCAATAAGTTGTCAAATGGACATGGTCGACAAAAATATATATAAAAAAAGTGTACATCATGACTACGGTAAAGTCTGGCGGAGGCAGAATTATGGTCTTGATTGCTTTTCACTAGCATGTGGGAACGCCCTCACAGAATACAAGGTAAATCCCAAAATATTTGCCGAATCTTCTTTACATCAACGGCAAATTACTTGAAGCACGTTGCTTGGTTCAACAAGCAATGCATTAATTACATGAACAAATCTTTCTGATGGGTGGAAGAATTAGTGTCTTGAAGCCTTAGCGATTTAGAGCTTTAAATGTATTGCGGAAATGAGCTGTGGTTGACAAGCTCCCTAAGTAGCCATGAAATGCAAAACTTTAAGAAGTCTCGACTTGATGTTTTCTTATTAATTGTATGAACAAATCTTTCTGATGGGTGGAAGAATTAGTAAACATTTGTACGCGTTGTGAAGAATATGAACAACTGTAGCTGACATCGCTCCTGCGAAATTCCATACCCCAAGGTTGAACCTCAATCTTGAAGCACGTCAAGTTAGACGAGTTAATGGGAGGCTCGAGTGGCCGCCAAGTTGCCCAAACTTGTGCGGCCGCCAAACTTAGAACAAAGCTTCAAGAAACAGCTAGGGAAGAGAGCCTAGAAGCAGATTCATGCCCTTCTGAGTGCCCTGTAAACCATCATGTGTCATCATGTATTCACAATGCTGTAAAAGCCCCAAAAATAATCCGTAAATCAAGAAGACACCCGTTATCTATTGGCGAGAAAATATTGAGTAAACGAAGTCACTGAAATTTACAGCTATCAGTCATGATTGTGTAGAAAAACGGATATCCTGCACCAAGTTACCGTGCAGGATATCAAACTAGAAGAATCTTGACCACGTGTAATAATGACACCGAGAAATAGAATATCCTGGATCATGCAGTTTAACTTTAATCGATCGATTCCTTAAACATGAAAACCCTTAATCGTGAAAAACTGCCATTCTAAAGTCGTGAGTCACGAAAAGTCATGAAATTCCGGGCAAGAAAATTAAACTCGCATAAAAATTCCCACAAATATAGGAATCTTAATCATCCAGCATTGGCATACTCAAAGATTGTTGCTGTTGTGTTAATAGAATAGAAGTGTCGGCACTGAAGAAATAGGAATGTAGAAATAGAAATGATGAAATATAAATAAAATAGGAATGAAAAAAATAGAAATAGGAACAAATAGAAATGTAAGTGTTGAGAAAACAGAAGATCCTTCCATGTCCACGATTCGCATAAAATCTAACTTCCATAACGGTAAATAACTCATTCATTCACATTTAATTTTTCCAATGTGATAGAAAAGGATCACTAAAGTACCTATGATAAGAAAGCTCAGTTTTCCAGTGATAAACGTTCACTCACGTTTGTTCAAGCAATAAAAACTACCCACCACTACTTCAACCATGCTACAACCCTTGAAAGTTATCAGTATCGCAACTTTATTTAAAAGCTTTAATACATGTGTAAGTAGTAGGAGAATATTTTCCAGCGTTTTTAGTTATTAACTGAAAAACTATTAATATTGAAAGTATGATTTATGCCACTATATCTCTGAACAATATATCTATTGGCACTATATCTCTATGACGGGCTTAATATTTTTAGCAATGTTGCAATTCAAAAGCGGATTTTAACTCTTTATGTAGTGGTAAAAATGCGATCATTCCAGAATTTTTCTGTGCTAGACTGAAAGCTGTTTTAGTAAAACTGTTTTAGTCTACGTAGCCGCGGAGAGCGATTTCCAGTTTCTCACTCATGCTCATGGCTGCATCCAGCTCAGAGTTTTCTAGATTGTTTGAAATGGTCTTAATATATATGAAAAAATAATTAAATTTTGACATCAAAATTCATTTGCTGGAGAACTGAAGAGCGGCATCTAACGGTTCTGTTGCAATTGCAATTACGAATCATGTCCGCTGCAAATGTGAAAAATTCATTCATAAAGCGAACAAAGAAGAATTTTTGGACGTTTAAATCTAGTTTTACATTCACTGCATTGATATGCATTATGAATATAATGCATATCAATGAAAATAGTGCGTGTATAATATAATCTTACTTGCGTTTTTTTTTTTTTGTGATCAAAGAAATTTATCATTTTTTCGTCACTTTTGATTTAAGAAATTTAATTGCAGATTTTAACTGGCATATTGCTGTTTTTACCATAGCGTGACATTCAAATTTCATCATTTTAGTAATTTACTCATAATCTTCAATATTTCTTTTATAATAGTAAATGATCTTAATTTTAGCGGAAAGGGGCACTCGGACGACGAGTTCATTTCCGGGCCGAGCTTTGGAAAACTAGTTTTTTTTACGTTTGTGACAGTGGAAGGTTTGAGTAACTTTAGTGTGTGTAAATAATACGTAATATTAAATAATAATACGTGTAAATAATACGTGTGTAAATAATACGTAATTCGAATGTGAGTTAATAATGAAACCCAATAATAAATGTTTTTCATTTCTTCTCTAACATTATCCATTCTTCATTAATCAAGTGAGACCCAAATTAAATTGCAATTATTTTTTGCGATTATCATACCAATATAAAATTTTTATATTAAACTTTCAACTCTCTTTGATGAATTTATTTATTGTCGTCATGGAACACGATACAGAAGTCCCATGTACGAAGGAAGGATGAAAATATAACTCAGTACTCACTGCAGTGAGTGACAGAGAGCGCATTTTCTCGTCGACGAAAACTTGAGGTCACGGACGGACGGACAGACGGACAGACAGACAGACAAACGGACATGGCGAGCACAATAGTGCATTTTTTCCATAAATGAGAAAATGCGCTAAAAAGCCGCTCTCTTCTTATAGGCCTGTGGTCTCGATCTTTACACAGAGCTCCAAACAAGGAATGATCCTGAGAGATCACTTGCGATCCTCCGCAGCCTGTTGCTAGGTCTGCTGATCCCTCTGCTGCATTAGCGACCTAGTTTGGTTCAGATCACGGGTGTTATTGTTCACCAAGCTGCTATAGAACAAGGCGGTAAGTTATCATAATGTCAATAACTGTACACCTGCACTCTAGTGTTAGCTAGGATGCCCCAACATCAGCACTATAATGCGTCTAGTCAGTGTTAGCCAAGAGGCATGTTCACCATCACTTCAGTCAATGTTAGCCAAGAGGCCATTACANCTGTCTCTTATACACATCTAGATGTGTATAAGAGACAGGTACACTACCACTCTAGTCAATGTTAGCCAAGAGGCCAGTACACTAACACTCCAGTCAATGTTAGCCAAGAGGCCAGTACACTACCACTCCAGTCAATGCTAGCCAAGAGGCCATATAGCCAAAGCTCACAGGGCGGAATCAAAGCCTCGTTCGTTTCGCCACTCAATCTTCAGTTTACCCGCTATGCCCAATCCTGTTTACAGTGAATGCCGTCCCCAGCAAACTAAGCATAACTGATTGAAGATGCGGCAGCTAAAAAAAAGTGAGTCAAACTGCACGAGTGAAATACGCGGAGAAACATTTCACTCATGTAAATTGCCACTGTTTTTGAACACACGTCTAAATTCTCGAACAGTTTGTCAAAATGTTATTGCTGCTCGGTGACGTTCGAGATATGTTTTGTTTACGCGACTTCGTCACATGAATATCTTCAGGTCAGAGACGTCAGATGTTGCAATATCATCGGCCAGAGAATATTGACGACTAAGTTGACTGATTGATCTACTCAGAGGAACGCCGACCGTTTTAACTTTATGACGAGTGTCAACATCAATTGACAATTGTTTGCCCTCCAGCAGGTTCATCCGGTATGTTCCCCAACAGCTTGTTAAATTATTCATCTGTACATTACACATACGTTATACGGGTAAGTTGATGTACGTTACATCGATTGAGGATTGGAAATAATTAATCAATTGGATTGAAGGCATCGTTTTTTTCGATCCCTAGCATACATCGGAAGGTGGCCTCCTCTAAGATTCTTCAGTCAGTGCGAAATCAGTCTCAGTGCTGGGAGGTTATGACGCT